TCAGCAGAACATCATTGTAACTTCTTCTGGGGAGAAAAACACTTAGAGAAAAATTAACGTTAACAGCTGAAATTGCAGAAAATAATACAGTTAAAGAGCAGATTGTAGAAGAAAGCAGTAGAGTGTGAAAAGTGGTCAGTGTATCCTCCAGCAGTCTAAGCCTATAGCAGCATAACTACAGAGATAACTCTGGATAACCTAGCATTTTTAGATGAAGGCATGTTGGAGGCAGGGCCAGAGAGAGCCGTCTTTACCGACTGTACACTCCACCTCCCTCTACTCCCCCACTTGTCCAGATCTAGGCTAACATCAGATTTTAACCATAGGCCCTATCAAATAAAAATGTTTCAAGCCTAGTCTTAAAAGTAGACATGGTGTCTGCCTCGCGGACTAAAGCTGGGAGCTGGTTCCACAGGAGAGGTGCCTGATAACTAAAAGATCTGCCTCCCATCCTAATTGTAGATATTCTGGGAACCACCAGTAAACCTGCAGTCTGAGAGCTAAGTGCTCGGTTAGGAACGTATGGAACAATCAGATCACTGATGTATGATGGAGCTAGATTGTTAAGAGCTTTATATGTGAGGAGAAGGATCTGAAAAACTATTCTGAATTTAACAGGTAGCCAATGTAGGGAAGGTAAGACAGGAGAGATTTGATCTCTCTTTTTAATTCTCATCAGAACTCTAGCTGCAGCATTTTGGACAAGCTGAAGACTTTTAACTACATTCTGTGGACTTCCTGACAGTAATGAATTACAGTAATCCAGTCTTGATGTAATAAATGCATGAACCAGCATCACTCTTGGAAAGGATGCTTCTAATCTTAGCAATATTCCAAAGGTGGAAAAAAGAAATCCTACAAACCTGTTTAACTTGGGATTTGAATGTCATGTCCTGGTCGAAGATAACACCAAGGTTCCTTACTTTGTTCTCGGAGATTAATGTAATGCCATTCAGGTCAGGTGATTGACTAAGCAATTTCCTTTTCTGGATTTCTGGTCCAAAGATGAGAACTTCCGTCTTGTCTTGATTTAAAAGCAAAAAGTTAAGAGTCATCCAATTTTTTATGTCCTCAAGACAAGCCTGTAATCTACCCAACCGATTAGGTTCATCAGGGTTAATGGACAAATATAATTGAGTATCGTCAGCATAACGGTTGAAGTTTATCCCATGCCGTCTAATGATTTTACCAATTGGGAGCATATGTATAGTGAAAAGAATCGGTCCAAGCACTGAACCCTGTGGTACTCCACAAGTTACCCTGGTGTATGAAGAAGATTAATCATGTATATTTACAAAATGAAATCTATCAGACAGGTAGGATTTCAACCAGCCTGGCACTGTTCCTTTGATCCCTACAACATGTTCAAGTCTTTCTACAAGAACATTGTGATCTACTGTGTCATAGACAGCACTGAGATCTTACAAGACTAAAACAGACACAAGATTTTTATCTGAGGTCATGTAACTCTCACTAATGCAGTTTCAGTGCTGTGATACTCTCTTAAACCAGACTGAAATTCCTCAAACAGATCATTAGTGTTTAAGAGAGTGTTGGGAGCATATGTATAGTGAAAAGAATCGGTCCAAGCACTGAACCCTGTGGTACTCCACAAGTTACCCTGGTGAGGACTGGATTATGTGGAAAGGTCGTTATTTCCTCACACTCTATGCCATAAGTTAGCACAAGGTCCAATGTATGATGGCAGGAGTGGGTGGAGCTATGTATTCTTTGAGTAAAACCAATTTGAGTCTAAGATATTACTAAAGGCTACATTGAGGCTATCATTTTCAATGTCCACATGAATGTTAAAATCCCCCACTATAATGACCTTTTCAGTATTAAGCACCAAATTAGATTAAAAAAATCAGATCTGATCCAAAAACTCAGAGTAAGGGCCTGGTGGACGTTATAAAACTACAAATGAGTGGTTTTATAGTTTTGCTATCTGGATTAGGAAAACTAAGAATAAGATGTTCACACGAACTGTAGCTGTTGGTAAGGGATGGATTAATAAGTCCGAATGAAAAATGGTTGCTACTCCTCCTCCTCGCCCTGTACTTCGAGCAATATGATGATTTAAATAATTAGGAGTTGACTCATTTTAAACTTAACACAGTCCTCTTGTTGCAGCCGGGATTCTGAGAGAGCAAAGAAATCTGATTATCACAAATCAAGTCATTAACTAATTAAGTCTTAGAAAAAATAGACCCTCCATCGTGTCCTGGGTCTTCTTTTAGATCCCCTCCAGTTGGACGTGCCTGGAAAACCTCACCAGCGAGGCGTTCTGGAGGCATCCTAATCATATGCCTGAGCCACCTCAACTGGCTCCTCTCGATGTGGAGGAGCAGCGGGTCTACTCCGAGCTCTTCCTGGGTTAAACATCTTCTCACCCTACCTCTAAGGAAAAGCCCAGCCACCCTGCATAAAAAACTCATTTTGGCCACTTGTATCTTGTTATTTCAGTCACTACCCAAAGCTCGTGACCTCAGCTGAGGGTAGGAACATGGATCAACTGGTAAATCGAGAGCCTCACCATTCGTTTCAGCTCTCTTTTCGCCACAACAGACCGATACAATACCCTCATCAAAGCACCAATCCGCCTATTGATCTTGCGCTCCAACTTTCCCTCACTTGTTAACAAGACTCCAAGATACTTAAACTCCTCCACTTTCGGCAGGACCTTATTGCTGATTTGGAGAAGGCATTCTACCCTTTTCCACCTCAAGACCATGGTCTCGGATTTAGAGGAGCTAATTCTCATCCCAGCTTCTTTACATTAAGCTGGGAACCGCTTCAGGGAGAGCCGGAAATCACATTCTGATGATGTCAACAGAACCAGTTCATTTGGAAAAATCAGAGACCTGTTCCTCTGGCCACCAAAATGGATCCCTTCAACATCTTGGCTGTACCTAGAAATCCTGTCAAGAAAAGTTACGAATGGAATCTGTGGAAACGGGCAGGCTTGGTGGAGTCCAACTCTCACCGAGAACAAGCTCAACTGGCTGGCAATGCATACCAAGCTCTGATAGGGACCTAACAGCCCATATCAGAGGGCCTGGTACCCCATACTCCCGAAGTAGCCCCCACAGGGCCCTCTGAGGGACACGGTCAAACACATTCTCCAAATCCACAAAGCACATATAGATTGGTTAGGCAAACTCCCATGCACCCTCCAGCATCCCCCTAAGGGTATAGAGCTGGTCCAGTGATCCAAGACCAAGAAAAACAACATATTGCTCCTCCTAAATACGAGGTTCAACAATCTGACGGACCCTTGTCTCCAGAACTTTTGTGATCCCCCTGTAGTTGGAGCACACCCTGCTGTCCCCCTTTTTAAATAAGGGGACTACCACCCCAGTCTGCCAGTCCAGTGGAACTGCCTCAGATGTCCTCACGATATTGCACAGCCACGTCAGCCAACACTGCCCTATGACATCCAGCGCTGAATGAGGGAGTCCCCGGAAGGAGAACTTGTCAGCACTTCCTCCAAGGTCTCCAAAAAAGGGTGGAATTGTCTGAACTGCAGTTTGGTGCATAAGCACAAACCACAGTCAAGTCCCATCTAGGATATTTTGTATCCATTTAGAAAAGTAAATGGAAAACCATTCAGTTTGTTATTGTTTGATACCTGGTTTTTGAAATTTGGAAGAAGAAACGTTACTGACTTTGGTTTGGTATTTTTACAGGTGAGTCCAAATGATGAGATGATTGACAACCAACCACAAGAAGTCACTGAATGGTTAAACACCAGCCCCGAATCAAGGCAGCAGGATACCAGCAAGTTGCCTAAAACTCTGTATGGGCTCTTCATTTTTAGAATTTTTAGCATTCTGTCTAAAAATCATTGATTTATATTTCATAAAGCGTAATCTTGTTCGAAACATAGATTAACACCGTTTTCAAAACACAGGTTCACAACTGTGGAGCAGCAGCAGCACAATTCAGCTCATGATAGGTAAGCTACCTTTTTGTGTTCACTTCTTCAGATTCTACTCACTTTCATGTTTTATTCTTGCCGGTGGTCTTTGTTAATCTTGGTTCTTGGTCTTGCCTCCAGCACTTTAAGTGGAGCTAATGATGTTCTTCACAGAAGTAACGTTGAAAATGCAGCTTTTGAAGAAACAAGGTTCATTCCAATACCTATTTGTTTAGTATTGTGGAAAAGTAAATCAGCTAAATATGAACTTTAATTCAAGTTTGTAATTTTATTTTGATTATTCAACTGGCTGTTTACATTTTAAAACAGTTTGAACGAGTTATCAGAGTCTGAACCAGAGGCAGAGGAGGTTCTTAGGACTGAAGAGGACCGAGTCTGCTCACGGTGAGCTGTAGCTCAGGGGTTTTCTCATCCAGCATGCATGCGCCTGTTAGCGTAACAAGGTTCATTCCAATACCTATTTGTTTAGTATTGTGGAAAAGTAAATCAGCTAAATATGAACTTTAATTCAAGTTTGTAATTTTATTTTGATTATTCAACTGGCTGTTTACATTTTAAAACAGTTTGAACGAGTTATCAGAGTCTGAACCAGAGGCAGAGGAGGTTCTTAGGACTGAAGAGGACCGAGTCTGCTCACGGTGAGCTGTAGCTCAGGGGTTTTCTCATCCAGCATGCATGCGCCTGTTAGCGTAGGTCTATGGTAGAGATTACTGTGCCCGAAAAGGAACAGAAAATACGACACAAGATGATTCGATTGTGGTTTAAGTGTGAAATAACATTTTTAAACTACACTCAAAAACAAGTTATACACAGCACTTAGTCTTTATGATGTATGGATCATTTAGTTTATTTTTCATGTTTTTTTACATATATTTTGTGACCTTCTTCCTATGAGAGTAGTATGGTGGTGCCGTAGCACCCCCTGTGGATGATTTACCACTGCATATAATGTTTTGGCCAAGTCCAGCCCGGTCTTGGTAACGACGGCCTGGTTGCGCACAGTCAGGTGTTGTTCACACAGCCTTCTCAGGAAAGAAAAATTCTCCAAGCATGTGGGTGGGGCAAAAATACGTGTTGAGATGCCTGTGGTGTCCTTCTCAAATTAGAAAACAAAGGCAGCCTTGAGGATTGTTACTTTTGGAGAATCTGACTCTGGTATTGCTTCCTGATCTCTCACTGAAAGTGCTGTGTGTGCTCCTCACATCAGTCTGTCCTTGTGTTGGAGCAGCAGCTCTAAGCTGCAGTCATAGGAGATGTTTACTTACTCCCCAGCAGCCAGATGTGTAATGAATTGCGCATGCGGAAAGCCGCTGCTGTCTGATTCTACTCGCCAAACAAAGGCTACTCCTAAAGGTAGGCGTGAACTTCAGCTGGCCAATCAGACCCCATTGGGTGTGTTATTTCAGCTCAAAGCAATCACCAGGGAAGACCTGAGAAAATGTGACGGTTGAGCACAGAAAACATACTGCATTTAACAACAAATCTGATATGCCACATCTAATATTAAACTTAAGGCATCGCCAGAGTGACATTAAGCCCTAGTTTGTCACTTAGAAAAGAAACAGAATTGACTGTAGTTGCAAATGCCAGTTTTTGCATCTTCCTCGAGCTGCGGTAAGTGTTGTATTCCTTAACATTCTTTTCGATGTCTCACTATGGGATATGCCCCTCCGCTGATTCCTCAGAAGCGCTTATCTCAATACGCCAATCATGATTGGCCAGTGACCGTGACGCACACGTCACATGCTACTATAAGTAGCAAGCGTCCCAATGCACGCATTATTCAGTCACCTCTTCTCGCTTCAGTGGTTGCTTATCTCACAGGTAAGTTAGCTCAACTGTTCAGACGGAGCCAGCAAATATTTTCTCTCCATCGCCGAACGCTAACTAACTGCCCTTCTGTTCTGACCTTCACCATCGGTTCGGGGCACAGCGAGCAGTTTCACACTCCAGTGCACCTGTTCGTTCTGTAGCTAACACACCAGTTAGTCCACATGGAAGCCGCTCCTCCCACCAGAGGAGTTGACGGCGCGGAAGCTCTCCTCTGTACCTGCAGGAACAAAATCTCGAGCAAAGACCCACACAAGGTCTGCTCGGGCTGCCTCAGGCCAGGCTAAACATCCCCTGGCCCACCGTGGTCACTGGAGCCGTCAGATCCCGCTACGAGGGAAAGAAGCTGCCTCAGGCCATAAGGGTGGCAAAGCCTGACCTGCCCGCTTTCTGAGAGCTCCTCGAAGAGGCTAGATCATCCTGGGACAAGCAGCCTTTCAGCTCCAGGTCTTCTGTCCAATGAGCCTCCTCGCCGGCCTTCGAGAGTATGGAAAAGGCTGGCATGCTGCGCATACCGCCGATGGAGCCGCTGGTCGCAGCCCACCTGCACCCACGGCTCTCGGCAACGTCTTCCAGACCTCCCGCTCTCCCTTCAAAGGTGGACGCTTCCAGTCAGCGCTGAACGAGGGCGTACAAGGCTGCCGCCCTCTCGGTTTGAGCTTTGAATATTTCCTCCATGCTCTCAGCATACCAGACCGAGCTCTGTGAAGACATCACCACGAAGCCGGACCCAGACGCGTGGGAGGAAATCGCCGTGCTAATCAACATTAGCCTGCGGGCGCAGAGCTGCATGGTCCAGGCCACGGGTAATGATGGTGCTTCAGGATCGTGCTCGATGGCTGAACCTCACTAACCTCTCTGATGGAGAGGAGAACATTTTTGACTTGCCGATTGTGCCTAAAGGCATTTTCTGCTCTGCATTGGCTTCAATGCAACAACGGTGTGAGGTAAAGAATTAAAGAGGACGAAGCTCTCCAATTCTGCCTTCCCCCAAGGCCTTCACCTGCTCCGCCACCTCGGCTGACTTTTCCTCAGACAGCTGCCCAAGCCCCGCCCTAGTTCAGCATCCTGAAGCTCCCGAAGCCTCAAGCAGTTAAACCAGCTCCTTCGGGCTCAGCGCCTCGACCAGTTTGGCCACAGAGGTCCGGCAACCAAACTACTCCACCACCGGGACAATCCACCCGTCCCGGCAGTCAGCAGGTGAAGAAGAAGAAAAGCACATCCTGATGGAGTTCTTTCCCTCCCGACATAGCAGCTGGCAGTTCCCCGTTCACCAGCTCAGCCTGTTTATGGTTACCATGGTGCTTCTTTCCCCCCACGGGATCCTCCCGGCAGAGTTCCTGATCGGTTCGGGGTGGGACCAGAACGTGGAACCGGCTTTGCTGGCTTAAAACAAATGTCACGAGCACTCGCATTGATTTTCACAAACATTTCACGCTCAAGAAGCATTCAAAAGTTCACTGTCACATCCAGACAGAATGTCAAGGGCGCAACAAAAATCAATACAAATAATTCCGGTGAGCAAGACCAGGCTGGGGCGCCCCCTGGCAGACTTTCCGACCACCCACGGAGCGTCCCTGTGTACCCAAGCTGTCATAGCACAAAGTCCCTGCACATGTGCAGTAGTTGCCATAAGCACCGCTACACCACAGCCTCTGGAGGGCGCAGCTATTCCATGTGCCAGGGCTGTGTCACCGCACAGAGGAATGGACAGTGGTTTCCGCTTAAGATTGGGTGCTGAGAACTATTTTGGGAGGTTACAGGCTTCAGTTTGCCTCAGTTCGTCCTCGTTTCTCCGGCGTAGTGTTCTCCCACTCCCAGGGGACATCAGCTCACATCCTTCAGGGAGAAATCTCCTCCCTGCTGGAGAAAACAGCGATAAGCTTTGTGCCTCCTGATCAGTCTCAGAGGATTCGTCCGATCTTGGATCTGAGGGCCCTGAACCGATGCCTCACAAAGTACAAATTCAACATGCTCACGCTCTCATCCCTTTTGCGTCTGATTCACCAGAGCAACTGGTTCACCTCAGTCGACCTGAGGGACACGTAGACATTCCCGTGTACCCTCCACACAGGAAATATCTGAGGTTTGCCTTTCAGTGAGTATGTTAAGAATACACCGTGTTCCCCTTCGGCCTCTTGCTGAGCCTGAGGGTGTTTGTTAGGTGTACTGAGTAGGGGTTGTATGAACTAAACCACTAGTCGACTTCACGGCTCTGTAGTGACTTTTTATGCCTGTCATCGACTAGTCACTGTCACGTGATAATGACTGACAAGATGCAGTCCTCGGAAAAGACAGCAGGTGATGAGCCCCCTGCGCGTCAGGAGGCGGAGGCGACGCGCTGTGCCAGAGCATCGATACTGACACCGGCGGTAAAACGGACATTTAACCAAACTGTGGCCTTTTCCCTCTTGCAATTTAACCTTCCCCTCATCCCCATCCTAATCTTAACCAGTGTGCGCATGCAAAGCTCTGATCGTTGACGCGCTCCAGACATCTGCGTCCTGAGCACCTCCAAATTACTCCTCAGCAAAAACGGTCCCATTGTAGTCGGCCGGCGAGCAGCGGCACTCCGCTGTTTTTGCGGTCGGTAGATCTTTTAGAACTGCAGTTCAAAGGTAACTCATAAGGTGAATATAAATGAACCCAGGTAGCAGTCTTTCTTTAGGATTGAGAGGAGATGCAGGAAGATAATAAACAGACAGGACAGAAAAATACCGTAGTCAAATAAAAAACAAGTTTGTTTTTGTACCTGGTTGCAACAAACACCATCGAAGGTAATCAGAAGTGAGGAACAGAAAATGAAATAATTATTTTAATGTTTAGAGCAGCAGGAAAGGCTGCAGGCACATCAGTGAGTTTGCGGCTGCTGCGCAGGGGGAGGGGGGAGAGGGCTGAAGTAGGATGCAGAAACTACCGTTGTTAAGAGATGTGTTAACTTAGAAAATGTGGGTGCAATTTTAATTTCTCAAAAACTCCAGCGAACCTACCGACCCCCCCCGGTGCCGCTTCAGGTGTGTGATGTCATCAACGACTAGTCGAAGTCGACTCGATTTTCATTACTTGACTGTCGACTTTAAAAAAAATTAAGTCATGCAACCCCTATTGTACATAAATTATATAATGATAATAATTTTTTTATATATTTAACAGTCCCACATATGGTGAGTTGGGATCTGGTTATCCTACTTAAGAATGATAAAAGTAACTTGGAATATTTACAGTTGTTTTTATTTGTGGTGTTCTGTTAATTAGTCTCATAATAATTGTTAATTATTATATTATGATTTCTAATAATTTTCTGATTAATTCTGTCAGTTTATATTTTTTGCACTTCAACAGTATGACTGGTAGAAAGTTTTTTGTATTTTGCAAACAAAATCACATAAAGTTTTTCTTTTTTAAAAATATACTTATAAATTATTCTTAGTAAAGTAAAAGTGTGTAAATTTCAGATGTCACAACAAAACCCATTGTAGATTAGATGCAAATCTGCAGCATGCAAGGACCTTTTTGGGGGGAAGGGAATTTTAGTTGTCCCCTTTTTAACACCCTCTGAGTTTGTAGGTATGAAAATTAGATGCATGTAAACTAACAAAGTTTTTTTTTTTTGTTGTTGTTCTATGCCAGCTGTTGGCATGCGTTTTTGTACCACGTGGCTTTACTTACCATTGCTACAGTCTTGCTGCCCTGGATGTGACGTAACCCACCAATTGATGAAGTGGAAAAACGAAGCAATGCAGTATTTAAAAATAATATGAGTGTTTAACAGTTGATTAGTTTATTGCGATAAAGTTTTAATTTTATTTTGAGAAGGTCTTGAAAATTCTTTAAACATGGCTTAAATTTAAATTTAAATTTAAGATCCCTGCATATACCCAACACATAGACAAGGTCAAACTTAAAACCCAGGGTGAAATCACAGTATGTCGCAGAGTCTTAATGGTGCAATGAGTATCAGTGTTTCATGTATTTTTTCTTATGATTTATGATATTTTTGTTTACCTCTCAAACAGACTTTTGGAATGGTTGAACCCAAACCCTCTGAACCCAAATCCAGATGCCATGAATGATGTAAGTTTTCTAATTTCTGAGTTTATTTTAAACAAGCTGTGGCATAAAGTGATAATGTAGATTTTTAAATATTTATTGAAACACTCATTATTTACCTTGTCTTTTTTTTGTGTAGTTTGGCAGCAGACCATTTCAATGCTCTGCAATGTCTCTGAGAGCGGGGGTGGGCGGCGTGACTCCTTGCGAGCAGAGCGCTTACCTTGTGTGCGTCTTGGGGCAGATCTCATAGGTGTGGCACTGGAATTTCAGATGTCTCGCAGTGCCACGCCTGAGTCTATGTAGGGGGAAACATTGGGGGTTCTAGAGAGGAGGGTCCGTCGGATTGTCAAACCTCGAATTCAGGAGGAACAGTGTGGTTTTCGTCCTGGTTGTGGAACACTTGACCAGTTCTAAACCCTTAAGCCGGGCATACACTGTGCGACTTTTTCACTTTTTTGAGCCGATTTTCCACTCGTGTGAGAATCCACAAGATTGGGGCGAGTTTTGCGCCGAGCGTCGTGTAGTATACAGGGGGTTACGAGAGGCGATTAACACCACATTACCAGCTACCGATCAGCAATTGTGAGCTCGCACGGACTTCTGGCGTTTTTAATATTTTGCTCGTCCCTCGTGAGGGTATCGCACTGTTGAAGCGGCGCTGCGAGCAGCTGCGACCCAAAAAGTATCAGAACTGCTCACGGCGCATGCACAATCCTGCATCAACACCACTCGCCCGCTATTTCCCTAATAACACACGTTGTTCGTTTTTGTTTCTACACGTTTTTTTACTCACAAAGATTGTCAAGAAAGCGTGCTTGTCGTGTTCATGTCAAATTAAACTGATCACAAAACACAAATTTACTTTCTTTATTTTGTTTTCCTCATCCAACTCCCATAAATCCCTGTGTGTCCCTTTCCACCTCTGGTCTGTTGTGACCTGGATACATTTCTAAGACCAGTCTAGTAGCGCCGCAGTTTCTTCTACGGACCTCAGTGCCTGGAAGTCCGAGGACTTCGACATTCCAGATAACATCGCATTCACACATAGGTTCATAACCCACATCTAGTTCCATCCATCACAGTAAATGTTAACTTGTCATGTTTTAGTTGTTGGTAAAAATAAATTCTTACTTTTATAAACCTGACTCTTTTCTGAATCAAAACAAAGTGTGTACAATCCCTCTTCAAGTAGAGGTAATATATATATTGAGCTCTTAAAGCACTCAATTTACCAAACCCTACAACCTATACTCAAAAAAACCTGGCCTGAATCGTTATGACCCTGAAAACTTTTGCTCCATTACAAACCTCCCTTCATTTTCAAAATCTTTGAACGTTCAGTAGCATCTCAGCTAACCCAACATTTCAACTCTCACGAGCTCTTCAAGACCTTTCAATCAGGTTTTCGTTATCACAATAGCACAAAAATGAGTCTGATCAAAGTGACTATTGATCTCCTGCTGGCTTCAGATTTGGGACCTGTTTCAATACTACTCCTTTACCTAAGTGCTACTTTTGACAATAACCTGAACCTCTATCGACAAAAACAGTTTCTTCCCCTCAGCGGTCGGACTCCTAAATGACAATCATAGGCCTGCCCACTCCAGCTGCTTTGTTTCAGTCCCATGACCCTGAGTTGTGTTTTCCCCTTAACTGATCCACTCTGACCAGTACCTACACTGACTGGTATAAAGTAGCTGCTTCTCTTGTTTTTGATTCCCTATATTATCATTTCATTGTGTTTATTTCCTAATTCTAGTTTTGCTTATCATTTATTTTTTCTTTCAAGTACTGCAGCAATTTCCTAATGTTGTGATTCTCACATATATGGCAATAAAACCATTCTGATTCAGGTTTTCCTCAGCTGTTGGACTGCTCTAATAAACCGCAGCAAAAGGCAAAAATGCATTGTGTCTGACGTTTTAGTTCAGCACAAATGTCAACAATAAAAAATGATCAGAAGTTACGTTGTGCTTGTAATACACCTGCTCAAAGCCTCCGGTGCACTGTGTGCAGATCAATTGAAATAATCCGAAGAAGTGCTCTTGTAGGCAGTTTGTGCAGAGACCAGAGACGATCTCTGATGGATTTAGAAAAAAATTTGCGTGTCACCGAATCAGAGCAATTAATAAACAAACCGTCTGCAATTTTTGGTTTTCAGGAAGTTTATTTAATTTTGGCTTTTTAAATTGAGAGACGAGGCACGTCTGTCACAGTGCTCGATGATTTAAAGTGTTTCGTGAGACAATACAGTGCGTTATGTTCAAGAATTGCTCTTCAGTACTGGGTGGATGCATGAGACCTTTAGAATAAACCAAGACACATAGCAACAAACTTTGACTCATTGCTTATGAATTTGCTATGGTTAAATAAAATTTCTAGCTGTCTTTTTGTTTAATGTGTTTCTTCTACCAAAGTCCTACAAACTTTAACCCTCCCACTGTCCCAATGGGTGTGACCCTGCGAGGAAAGTTGACCATTGAGCAGGGTTGATGATTTATCCCTTGGGTCCATGTGGCAGAAGTGAGGAGTGAGCATCACCTCACCCCGCCACGTGGACCTCAAGGGATAAACCATCAATCTTACTCAGTGGTAAACTTTCCTCACGGGGTCACTCATAAAGACAGTGGGAGGGTTATGGTTGCATCTCGCTAACCAAGATCAGGTTTTCATTTTCCCCTTGCCTAACATTCCCTATCTCTATTTTTTTTTTTTTTTTTTTTTCAGATTTCCCTTCAAGATACCATTATCAGTGAGGTTCTGGTCCACTCGGCTCTCTCGGTGGAAACTTGTAATACCCTGGGAGATGCACCTATTACAGATGTTCTTCGCAAGGTAAACATGTGGGCACATGCAAAAGCTGGAGCATATACAAGCTCACTTATCCTTTAGCTTGATGATAATTTTCAGAAACTTTGCCTTTAAATAAAAGCGCTATCCATTTTAAACAAATTAACCCAACACAGACCTCCAAATCACGCCACACTTTAGATCTGTGTCCCTTAGTCAAGGCGAGGTAACATCATGGTCTCATATGAGCTAATCTGCACAACACTGCCCTCGTGATTTCTTTGTACGAATCCTGTAATTACAAGCCATTAGATCACGTTAGCATTTTATTATGGAAATCATTCAACCCCCTTCAAGATATCCTACAGAGACAGAGATATTCTGTCCAACAGGTTGTTTCAGCTCTGCTGTCGCATTGTGGAACAATTGGACAATAGTCGAAAATCACCATTGTGCAATGCCTTCCTCCTTCAGAGCTGCTCACGGATTTGAAGGTGTCAGATTACCTTGGGAAAAAAACTGCATTAATTACATTTGCATTACATCACATCTGCATTAAACATTTCACATTAATTAACTAAAAACTTCTCTTTTTCCATGCCGGTTGGTGGCAATAATGCACTGAATTGTCTGGCTATCGCTACTGTGTTCCAAGAGGAAGCCAATGGGCCAATGAGGGAGGGGGCAGGGAGAGGACAAAACTTACTAATCAAAAAACAGCAGATCAGCCACAGGCCCTGCCTCAAAATAGTCACAAAATATGCAGCAGTTAACACATCCTTTAAACTTTAACTTAACATATTTATTATTTAAATAAACCTCCTTCTAAACATTGATATATATTTTTTTCGACCCCCAAGGCCCCGACCAAATCCCCACACAGGGCCGGCCAACCTCATACCCCGAGCCCCCAGGCCCCCACCCAGACCCGCCCAGGGGTACTGCAGCTGCCAGGCAGCAACCCATGGCCACCGCCAAGACTCCCAAGGGGCCCCACTCACAACCGCCAGTAGTCCAGCCCCCCGAGGCAACCCAAGCACCTCCAGAGTGGGGCAGTAGCCCCCCAGTCCCAGACAACCCAATGAACTCACCTCCAGGGAATGTCCGGATACTCCAAACTCAGACCCTCGCCCCCTTCACCCACATCATCCCGCAGGACAATATCAATGACCCCCTATCATCGCTGTGTGATGGAACCGATCACAGGGTATCCGCGGGTCCTTAAAAAGTCTTAAATTAGCTTTTCCAAATTTAAGGCCCTAAAAATCCTTAAAAATGACAAATAATCCTTAAATACTGTTTCCAAAGGTCTTAAATTACCAAAGACCCAATAAACAAGATTATTTTATTTCTATAAAAGTTTCGTGAATTTCTTGTTAGTGTTCAGCATTTATTATGTATGACACTGGCATAAGCGGAACCGTACACATTCAGTTGGTTGTGAAAGGGGGCTATTTTAAATGAGCACATTAGCTGGTTAAGCTAGTGGGAACTTGCGCCATGGGGAAGTGAGAGCTTAATGGTAACTGGATGGCTAATCCCACATTCGCAACGTGGTTAGCACCGGTTCCAGGCAATAGCTGGAAATTATGGCTTAAATTTAATTTTTAAAGTAGCTTAAATTGGTCAACGTGGCCTTAAAAAGGTCTTAAATTTGGCTCCCCTAAACCTGCAGGTACCCTGGATCAAAAGAGACCAAAGAGATTGACTTGAAGTGGAAGCAGAGGCTATATCGAGTGTAATATGATCTATCAAAAGAGTCTGTACTGGTTAATGCAAATAGTATCTCTATTTTTCCAATTCATGAGGATAGTTTTCTTAGCGATGCATTTACTGTAGCAGTCAGAACCACATGAACCAAAGATGTTTCAATCGGGACATCGTCCAGGTTTCCCAGTAATCAAAGAGAGGGGGAATTTGGGATATACCATTTCAGACACTTTGACAGGTCTTCACATATCTACCCAAAAATTCCTGGACAGGTGCACAGGACTACAGTGCGTGGATGTAATTGTCAGGAATGTTGTTTGTGCAGTGTGTACAGGTGTCAGACGACACAAACCCCATCCTGAACATCCGATGACCTGTATAGTGTGCTCTGTGTAGAATTTTGTACTGAATTAATTTGGGGTGTCTGATCATTTTAAAAGTTTTAAAACAAGTTTGGGACCAGAAGTTCTTGTCAAAGTTGACTGATAGATCCACCTCCCATTTTTCAATAGGGATTGCTATTCTATCGTCTATTTTGGACAGTGTCTTATAAACTTTAGACAGTAGTTGGGGGGGGGGGGGGGTTGAGATTATAGAAGTCTAATACCGTTGGTGTTGTGTGTAATTCTACTTTATTGAGCTTAAATTTTTGTTTAACTAAAGATTTAATTTGGTGATACTCTAAAATGCTATAATCTATTCCAAATTGGGAGATTATTCTGTTAAATGGGATGAAGTCCAATCCTACATTTATGTGTTGCAGGTATAAGATTCCTTTATTTTTCTAGTCCGGAAGGTTCATCATTTTGTTATTTTCCAACATATGAGGATTATTCCAGATAAGTGTGCGTCTGCATGGTATTAGTGAAGACTGTCATTTTTAGATACTCCCACCATGCTGTCAGAGATGTGCTGATATTAATACTTTTGAAGCCTTCATGTTTTCTTATGCTTGAGCTAATAAATGGTAAGTCTGAAAGCTGTCAATCTTTTAAACTTAAAATTTGCCCCTGAAGTAGCTGCCGGCTTCTGATCTGCCATCCTTTAGAAAATACGGCGGTGTATTCTGGGTAATTGTTGACCAAAGCTAGGCTACAAGACTATTTCCGTGTATCCTTGCTCAGCTAGCTACACGGCTAACAAATTGAGAACATGCCTCGGTAGAACATGAACAATGGAACACGCCTTGGCGGCTCCTGATGACGTATCTCCTAGACAACCAGGGCGGGGCCAAGACACCTAAGTGAGGTTCCTTGGCATTGAGAAACACCTTATGTTTTCAGGGTGCAATGGCGGCTGTTATGTCTTCTAAAATTTGCAACACTATAGATGGTTTTCTGTGTGGCTGTATGCATTTATGATTTCATGGAAAAGTCATCGATAGTTCATATGTTTATGATGTATATTAATGATTGTTTTTAGGTGTTGTTGAGGTTTTGTGCACGCATGTGTATCTGCTAGTGTTGAAGGTGTTTTGGAGAACAGTTAGGTGAGTGGAATCAGATTTATTTAAAGCCAAATAAATCTGACATTCATCTGCATAAAGATGGTAACTCATTCCAAGTTTTGCCAAAATCATTCCCAGTGGTAACAAGTAAATTGAGAAAAGGAGTGGCCCCAATATTGAACCTTGAGGCAACCCCTAGGGTAGCGGCACAGATGGAGAGGAGCAGTCGTCAATGTGGACGCTAAAGTGTCTGTCTGACAGGTAGGACCGAAACCAGTCAAGTGGGGCCCCTTTCACTTCGGCCCACAATTCAAGCCTCCTGAGTAGGATGTTATGGTCGATTGTGTCGAAGGCAACCGATGGGTCTAAGAGTAACAGCAGAACATGGGAACCCACATCAGTTGCGACCAGAATGTTGTTTAGCACACACGTGAGCAGATTCTGCTATGATTAGGCCTGAAACCAGATTGGAAATGGTCGTGCATGCAGTAATCATCCAGATGAAGTGAGAGTTGAGTGTGAACCACTTTCTCCATGACGTTGGATAAAAATGGAAGTTTGGAAATCGGGCGGTAATTACAAAGCACAGTGTGATCCAAGCCAGGTTTTTTCAATAGCAGTTGAACGACCGCATTCTTGAATGCCATTGGAAATATGCCTGTAGATAAACTGCTGTTTACAACGTCCAAAATAAAGGGGGCCAGCACAGAGAGGGCCCCAACTATTAGTTTAGGGGGGAGGGAGTCCTCAGGAGAGCCAGAGTGCTTCATGGACCTGATCAGTTTCAACAGGTCATTAAGTGACAAACGTACAAAGTCAGAAAATTGATGGTTACATTCTCAATACATCGATCAAAGCTTTGTTTATAAAGCGCCTTCCGCAACCCTATCAGGAAGCCCAAAGCGCTGAACATGGTACAGTAGAAGGTAAATATATTGAATAAATCAAAAATAAAAGCAATTCAAATTACAAAATTCAAATTACAAAATAGGTGAAACATTCTGGTACAGGACAAATTTGTAAAACAATGGATTGAGTGAATCAATGAAAACTGTGAAATAAATTCAACATAAAAGAGGGCCAAAATCAAACAAGTTCTGGAAACGCCAAGCGGAGGAGGTGTGTTTTTAGGCGACTCTTAAAGGCTGGCAGAGATGGGGACAGCCTAACTGAGGGTGGCAACTGGTTCCAGATTGACGGTGCTAGGACTGAGAAAGCCCGGTCCCCGCGAGTACGACACCTAGAACGAGGGACAGCGAGCAGGCCTTGGTCAGAGGAGCGCAGAGCGAGTGATGGGGAATATCTGTTCAGGAGTGTGGCCAGATAGGGGGGAGCACCACCCTGGAAGAAATGATAAACAAAGACGAGGATTTTGAATTGTGAATTCTGGTTACTCCAGGGTGACCCGACCCAGAGGCAGGATGCTCGATCTGATATCCTGGATCTTTTGCAGGAAGGTCATAAACTCAGTGCAGAGAGTTGTTGTTGGAGCAGAGGGTATGGCAGTTTCTTTTAACGAAAGAACAAAATTATGATACTAAATTGTTTCTTTTGATCACCAAGATGGGTGGTGATTATATTAGAGAAATACTCATTTCTAGCTGCTCTGACGGCTTTCTGATACAAGGACAGGGAATCCTTCAGCATTTGTTGAGAAATTTGCAGCCTGTCCTTTTTCCACTTGCGTTCATAAGATCTGTACTGTCGTCTAAGGGCTCGAGTATTGTCATTGAGCCAAGGAACAGAAGCTGATTTTTTTTTTTATTCCTGATTTTAAGTGGAGCAGCAGCACTAAGAGCAGCCGAACACACAGTATTAAAGGAAGTCTTTCTGATGTGCCTTTCTGTATTGCTTGTTACAGTTTTACAAGATTCCCAGTAAACTTTATGGAATCAACTTACTGTCCCCTGGAGTTTTTGGGAGTGTTTAAGCTTAATGGATTTGAGTACGTGACAGCAGCGATGTCGACAGCAATGGTGTCCTGACATGTCACAAGCGCGCATTCCGTCTCGTTGGACGGATGTTAAGAAAAGAGAGCTCGGCTCTGTCCGTCCTTGTGAGCCTGCTGAAGAGCCCTCGAAAGGACTGATAATGGCGTTGAGTGCATTCATCTCGACCCAGACGGAGATGTATAAATAAGGTTTAAGCGTGTAGAAATGGACTGCGCAGTGGCGCGGTGGTTAGAGCTGTTGCCTTTCAGCAAGAAGGTCCTGGGTTCGTTTCCCAGCCTGGGATCTTTCTGCATGGAGTTTGCATGTTCTCTCTGTGCATGCGTGGGTTCTCTCCGGGTATTCTGGCTTCCTCCCACAGTCCAAAAGCATGACTGTTAGGTTAATTGGTCTGTCTACTTTGGCCTTAGGTGTGAGTGTGTGTGTGTGTGTGAGTGATTGTTTTTCCTGTGTGTCTCTGTGTTGCCCTGCCATGGACTGGCTCTCTGTCCAGGGTGTACCCCGCCTGATTGCCCATTGACCGCTGGAGATAGGCACCAGCCCCCCCCCCCCCCCCCCCCCCCCCCCGCGACCCTACATGAACAAAGCGGGTTCAGACAGTGGATGGATGGAGTGCGGAAATGAAGGTGTGGATAACGATCACAAGCTCAGAGCATGATAGAATGGGATTCAGCTTAGCAATGTTCCTGAGCTGGAAGAAGTAGTAGTGAACAAAAAAACTGACATGAGAATCCAGGGTTAGAGCTGGGTCAAATGTCACTCCAAGATTCCTGACAGAGGTTTTGATGTGAGAAGCAAGCTGACCAAGAGATTTCCTGCCTTTGGGAATGTGCTTGTCTGGGGCACAGATGAGGATCTCAGTCCCATCTTCACTCAGCTGTAGAAAGTTCCCAGCCATCCAGGTTTTATCAGTCTAACCAGGTGTGTAACAGCTGCAACTTAGACATCTCATGGGGTTTAAAGGAGATGTACAGTCGGATGTCATCTGCATAAAGATGGTAAAAGATTAAAGGATGTGCTGATGAGGAGCAGATAGAGGAGGAAAAGTAGTATGTTCATTAAGACCATGTGTGTGTGTGTGTGTGAGAGAGAGAGAGAGAGAGAATCCTGACATTTTTTTTTTTACTTATGTATTGTGTAGTTTAAAACTGTTCTGTTCTGCTGGAATATGAAAGAACATCTGTCTATCAGTAGCCACGTTTACATGCCCATATTTAATTGGATTGAACGCCCAATCAGATACAAAATTCTGCTTGTAAACATGTCATTCGGAATATTCTGAACCAATTCGGCCCGATCGGATTGAAGTTTCAACCCGATTGAGAGGTGGTGTATTCCATTCAACATTTCGATTGACGTTTGAAACACAGCCATTCGTATTGTTGGGGTAAATTAATGCTCACTGGGCATGCGTGCAACAGCAAGCGGGCCTCTCTGCTATCATTTGGACTGCCTGACTTAAAACATGACGGCGTAATTAACAAGCGGCGGCTTTTAAATCCGATGACAAGCCGTCCCCGTTTCAGTAATATTTCATTCAGAACTTGCATTTTGTGGAAGTAAAATATAAATCTGATTATTGCACAAATCATTCGACAAACATGTTCAAATCTTTACACATTTTCTTTCGGGAAAGGCGACTCTGCACATGCTGAACCTATTTAATCAGATTAAATGCTTGGTGCATATATATACGCACGGCATGATCGGATCATTTCAGTTTGTGTCCATGTGAACAGAGATTTGGAAATTCCGATCAACCAAGATTTGAATCGAATTGAGGAAATTTTGGCACATGTAAACGTGGCTAGCGATTCCTCTTTAATCACATATTGAGTCTCAAGTGGCTTCTGGTCTTTTTCCAGATGTTGCTGAGAAACAAGTTCGACACTTTGTCTCCTGCTGAACGCTACAGCTGGCCAATGGTGGCCCGTGGATGCAACACACTCATTATTACTCCGAATGCTGACAACCCACTCAGCTACCTTGCTCCCCTCCTCTCACACATCCTACTTAATTCTGTTTTCACTTCCCAAACCACCTATTCAGGGGTGAGTAAAAATGTTTGACTTTTTATATTTAGATATAATGTAAAACTACAAACCTTTTTCTTGTGTACATTCTTGATGTTTCTACATGCAGCCCATAGCAGTGCTGCTGTGTTCAGGCTGGGAGAAGGCTCAGGCAGTCTATGATCTGCTGGAAGAGGCCAAGCTTTCGCAAAGCCTCTGCCCAGTCATTGTCCTGCTGGGTGTCGGTAAAGATGAAGCCAAAGCTGTCAAAATCCCCAAAAACTGTAAGCAAAATTCCACGCTTTTCTGACCGTAGTTGGTAAAGGACCCCAATTTTCAGGTAATCATGTGATTACAGTTACAAATAAACTCAAAGATTTATTTGGATTTTCAACAGGCCTGCTTTTAGTGACCACTCCTTTCACCCTGGTTCGTCTGCTGTCCTGCCACTGTTTCCTGTTCTTACGACTGTGCCACTTGGTTCTGGATGAGGCCGACCATCTCTTTGAGCTTGCTCCTGATGAGGTAACGGTACATCTGTTTTTTTTTTTTTAAATGTGTACCTGCAAGAATAGTTGGTTTGTTTTGTATCATCCAGTTCATTGCAATCCTAAAGCCTAGGGCACACTGGAGACAGACACATCGCGCCTGCACCGTGCCGTCATTTTCTATAGAAACCATTATAGTTGCTGAGAGTGGCTGCACAGGAAGTGCAGTGCTGCGTCCCGGATGAGTCGCGCCGAGGCGCTGAAGATAGGTGGCAGTTCTATTTCAAACGCCGTGGCTGTTTACAACATTGTGGAGGACTTAACAAATGACATTACGACGCAGAACGGCTTAATGGCACAAACCCAGCCGCAGTATTGATTATGTTAAAGTACTATTGATCATAAAATATTCTAATAAATAGCGTAATTACCCATTTTTTATGAATTAGTCTCTCAAAACACGACGTCAAGTCTGATCACGTAAAAACAAGAGTCACTTTCATCTTCCTGTTCTCAAGTCTTGAAAGATGTGACCATCATGCGACTTTCCAAGAAGCGCCTAGTGGCGCGGCGCGTCCTGTGTGACCACTTGACTTCTCAAAACAACGGCGCGTCTGTCTCCGATGTGCCCCAGGCTTAAATTCTTCAAAATTGTCAAATTTTATTAAAAACGGAATTTGCCTAGAACAAAGGTCACGGAAGAGCTAAATTTGATAATTCATACAACATTCTGAGGATTCATCAGCTCAGTATTAGCCATTCAGGAACAATTTTTATGCGTCTGCCTTTGAAAAACAATGGTCTTTCAGATGGAAACCATCCTGAAGCATTTCCAGAGGGTGACCTGCAACGAGGAGAATGCATTCCATCCTCAGCAACTTGTTGCTATTGCAAAATGCTGGACGAGTCACATGGAGGGTCTGATTTCCGGTCACATGTCAGACCCTTGTATCATCATAACGGCCCCGGAGGAAGCTGCACTCTACGGCAACGTTCAACAGGTCAGGCCGTCTCACGTGCTTACATCATCACCATTACAGGATGTTGACCTTCCCAAAAACAGGATTTCAACATTACTAATAATAAAAGTAAAATAACATATTTGAAATTTTCCTTAAAATATCCCTTAAAAAGCAAGTTCACTGAGAACCAATTTTGTACTTGTTAGCATGGCGGATCACTTTTCAAATATGAGTTTAACATGCAGGTTGAAGATGAAAATAGTCTTCTAACCCTATTAACCCTAACCCTGCATTAGCTTTGGATAAAAAATAGATGGGGAAACACTGATTAGAAAAGCAGGTCAGATCTTTGTCACTCTGAAAATTTGCATTCATGACCTGATCCATCTTGGCTTGCAGCAGGGAAGGCTGTTGTTGGTTTAGCGCAGCGGTCCTCAATAGGCAGCCAGCGGACCCACAAAAATAAACAATTAATGATGAACAAGAGTCTGCTTCTATACCTGCAGAAAGAGAAAAACAAACCAAAAAAAGGGGGGACACAACAATACAACAAGAGCAAGCTATCACTGCGTCAACCTGATGAAGAAATATAAAATCAACATTGTTTTACTGAACAATCACACGATAGGGGGATAGGGATTCAAGGGGAGACCAGTGAACGGGTCCTGGTCCCCCCATTTGCTCAGGTTCCACATAAAGTATTTGGAGCTGTTGGCAGTCTACATGACGTTGAGACAATTCCTCTCTGTCCTCGTAAACCATCACGTTGTGGTACAAACGGTCAACAAAACTGTTGCGGCGTACATAAATTGACAGGGAGCCTGAGATCCCAACACCTGCACATATTAGCTCACAAGCTTATTCTGTGGAGCAACAGACACTTGTCTCTGAAAGCCACTCATGTACCGGGGATACGGAACATATGGGCGGATCTCCTCTCCAGAAAGAACTTCCTGTATGCAGAGTGGAGACTTAGTCAGGATGATCTGGCTGCGCTTCGGGCAGGCCTCTGTAGACCTTTTTGCCACTCAGGAGAACACTCTGTGCCCCATGTTTTTCTCCCTACACGACCAGGACGCACCTCTGGATGTGGATACATACACCTACAAATAGCCACTGACCCTGCTCTATTATTTTCCCCCTGTGGCTCTCATCTCACCCACGCTCACCAGTGAGAACGGAAGACCTGTCAATGATTCTCATTGCGCCTCGTTGGTTGACGAAACACTGGCTGGCAGAGATCACACAGCTCCTCTTTGGAGAACAGTGGCACCTGCCTCTACGCAGAAATCTACTGTTTCAGGCACAAGAGGAGATTTTCCACCCTTATGCAGAGAGACTGTTCCTTTAGGTTTGGCCCGTGAGTGGTCCAACCTACAGGCTTTAGGGCTCACGCAAAGGGTCATTCATTCCCTCAAGTAGGTCTCTGTATGACTGCAAGTGGTCTGTTTTCTAAAAGTGGTGTGAAGAGAAACAGAAAATCCCTTTTCAGAGTTCTGTGGTGGTCATACTGACCTTCTTGCAGGACCTGATGGATAAAGAGAAAGCTTTCTTCACAATTAAAGTTTATTTGGCTGCAATATCAGCTTGCCATATTAAATTTGAGGGGAAGTCAGTTGGACAGCATCCCCTTGTGAGTCGGTTTATGAGAGGAGTGCTAAGGCAAGTTCCTGTTTCTAGGAATCTGGCTCTACCCTGGGACCTCCTGCTTGGTTTGGGGGCACTAATGTCTCCTCCTTTTGAACCACTGGAGCAGGTGGATTTGAAGGTGGCTACATTAAAAACGGTGCAGTTCGTACTTGCGTCGGCTAAATGTGTGGGTGAAATACATGCACTCTATTCACCCGTCATGTACCAAATTTTCCCCAGGGGACACTAAAGTGACTTTACTCCCTAATCCCACCTTTATGCCTAAGGTGCTGGGGACATGCTCCCCTATTTCTTTGGTCTCCTTCCGCCCTCCTTTCTCCTCAGTTTGAGCAGCAGAATCTCCACACACTTCATCCAGTGCGTGCATTACGTATATACATGGACAGGACAGAGACTCTGCGAAAAAGCAACCAGCTTTTTTGTGTCCTGGACCAAAAATTGGTTGGGGAAGCCCAATTCAAAACAATTACTTTCCCACTGGATTGTAGGAGCCATGTCCTTAGCCTATGACTCCAAAAGGGTTCTACCTCCTGAAGGTCTTTGTGCCCTTTCTACTCTAGGACTTGCTTCCTAATGGGCCCTATTCAGAGTGTCTATTCAGGAAATATGCTCTGCCGCGAGTTTGACCTCCTCTCCTACATTCACTCGGTTCTACAAGCTAGATATCACAACACCATCACTAGCTCACTCTGTGCTGGCCATGGCTCCCACTATCTGAGATGTTCACACGATATGTTATTTGGGATTACAGTCTCTGGATCATGTTCTGCCTTGCAATCGAGAGTCCGTATTTTCCCATAGTGAGACATGGAACGAGTGCTATGAAAGAGAACTTAAGGTTACTGGCATAACCCCGGTCCTTTGAGTAGCATGAATGAGTGTCTCACCATGCTGCCCTCCTTGCTATTTCGTAGAGAGTGTAGCATTATGGTTTATGCTCTTTTATGAAAGAGGAACCATTCTACATTTTAATTTGTGATATTAATTTTATTAAATTAATAACCAAATTGTATAGTTTTAAGAAGACTCAAAGGTTGTTTTCATCGATAAACTGTCGATAATATCCGTGGGTCTGTGTTTCAGTTCAATGAAGAAACAAGTTTTACAATTAAAAGTTTTAATTCTTCAAATTAAACTAATGATTTTGAAATTGACAAACAGGAAATAACAATCAACATTGGCAACCTTGTGGGACAATCTTTAACAGTTGATATGCTGTTCTTGCTCAAATAGACCTTGTGGTGAATGTGTGAAGATTGAACATGAGGTGAGATGAAGGCATGTGGGTGTGCGTTTGATTTTGCTTCAGGAAGAAACAGGTGTCTGAGTGAAGTGATGGTTTGGATAAACTTAGGTCTTATTGAAAAACTGCATCAAGCGCTACTACCGTGTTCTGCCTCACTGAAAATCGGACCCCCTTTAGATCCGGGATGCCAGAGGATGGTGATGTTCAGCACGATCCAGGTGACACCAGCGGCTGGCAGAGGAGACTGAGGTGTCCGCGGCCCGGTCCAGAGATGCCCGCGGTACACGTCGATGGAAAAACGTTGCAGATGTGTTTTGTTAAGTTTAGTTCACTCAGAAATCAAAAGACTCGGTATGAGTCTGTGTTAGAAGTTGCGATTCAGCTATTCTGTCTGGCTGACAGGAACAGCTTGGGGGGGGTGGGAGAAATGAGCCGATCGGCTTTGGTTTCTTCAGGTCCTCTCTCTTTCGTTGTCCAACACGAACTGAATCATAAGACTGAAACTTACCAAAAGCCTTTCTCTTCTCAAAGCAAAACGTGTACGTCAGCAAATGTGTTTTGGAGTTTACTGTGAGAATCTGTGTGTGGGTGTGTTTGAGTGTGTGTGTGCTTGAGTGTGTGTGTGAAGGTCGCTAACAAACATCCTCAAACATTATTTAATCAAGTTTGGATTCATTAATCCATTATAATTACCCAAAGCATAAGAATCATTCATTTGATTAAAACACATTTATAACGAGCAAAATGATAATGATTATTCTTTAACATTAAAATCAAGAAAGAAAGTTTAAGACTTGTTATGACTACATTTCCTGGGAACACATCTTCTGGTAGACTGCAGGTGTTCAGATGTTATGGTTTCCTCCCAGACTCGCTGGCGTTCAGGTCTTAATCTGTGGGTGAAAGTTCTCAGCGACCCAGCTCTTTGACCCAGCTGAGTCAAATGACCTTTGTGACAGAAAACCCATATTTCCTCACGTTACAAGAGGAAGAGGTGGACGTTTTAGAATGAACTGCCAGTGAGGAGCCGGCCCAATGTATAGGGTGGGGTCCCGCCTCTTGAACACTCACAGATTTTTCCCAGCCAATCAGGGCTGGCGGTGTGGAATAAGAGCTTCTGATGAGGTCACGCCTGGACGTTCCCATAGTGAGACACTCACTCATGCTAGTGAGAGAACCAGGGTTACGCCAGTAACCTAAAGTTTTTAGCCCCATTGACATGTATTCATTTTTTCATTCTTAGGGGGGACCCATGGTTTGGAAGTAGACAGGCATGACTTAGGCTCACTATGGTGGCATGGCTATTATTTATGAGTGGGCAATAATTCAGTTTAAATTATGTTCAAAGATAGAAGCATTTGTAAATTACATACTACAGCGGCTTACCATAGTACGTGCTGCAGTGTAGAAGCAGCAACGTGACTCGTATCTGCAGCGGTTCTGATCCATAGTGCTGCAGGATGCAGAATAAACAGGATGGTGGGGACTTCCACTTGTAGAATTTCAGGGTTTCTGCAGGGCATGAAGTCATTAAATGAAATTTTCAATAATTAAGGCCTTAAACAGCATTAAAAAGCATTAAATTACATTTTTTCAAGAAATATTCTTAAATAATTTCAATTTTTTGTCATTATTGTGATTTGTTGTGAAATTGTATGATACGTACGTTTGAGTAAAGACGCTGGTGGAACCATTTCTATTATGGCTTCTGTTTTGACCAGTTTCTTGTAGAATTGTCGTAAAACCAGATGTTCGACAAGAAGCTGGCACTCTGGATCATGAGGCGTTAATGTTTGGAAAATGGGGAAATGCAAATTTCAGCAAAAGTGGTTGGAAAACGACGAGTTCCGGGTATGGCTGCAGCCCGTTAATGGTTAAGATGGATAAAGATTTTGTACTATTTGTAAAAAAAATAAATAAAATAAACTTGGTACAATGGGTGTGCACGCTGTAAAATTGCACATGCAGTTGGACAACCACAAAGCAGCCGTAAAAGGCAGACAGCAGCTAACTGACTATTTACCTTTCTACGACTACCACGACCACAACAAGCAGCACAACTGCAGCTGTGAACCCTGCCGTCGGAACATCAAGCACGCTTCAAAAATAATTTGGATCGCCTGCGACGCTGCAGACAGAGGTGCTCTGATATCTGAACACTGCCGTGCAGCACCACTCCTATGCATCCAATGAAGGTGTTTCGGAGTTGTTCCAGGCAATGTTTTTGGATTCTGAAATAGCTAAATCTTTCACCTGTGGAAAGGACAAGACACGCTACATTTTAAAGTTGTGACTCGCCCCACATTTCAAAAAAGAACTGGTTTCTGCAGCTAACAACGCTGGACCAGAGAGAGGCTCCTCTGTGAACAGGGAAATAGTGGCTTGCAACATAAAAGAAGAAACTGTTGAGGCCCAGAGACAAGTCTGTGACCAAGTTGGAGCTTGTGGGGGGGTTCTCAAAGTTCCCCTCACAAAACAGCTACTAGCATCTGTAGCATCAGCCAGGACTAGATATAGGATCTACCTTAAGGAAGAGAGACAAAAGCGAGAGGGTGCCATGAGTGGACTTCAGAGAAAAGCTTTGGAAGATGAGCTAGAACAGCTGAAAAAGATATTAAGGGTGGTGTGTGTCAGCCTTCATAAAGATGCTGATCAACTAGCTGGACAGGCAGAAAACAAACCGAGCACGCTCATGGCTCAAATGATAACAAAATCTAATACTCTAAGGAAGAGATACAGGGACAAATGCAGTGAACTGAAAAATGTTGAGTCAGAGCTGGAATCAAAAACTAGTGAGCTAACCCACATGCATTAATCCTGTTGTTTGGGAAAAAATGCTGCAGCATGTAACATTCCATGTAACTGTATTTTCTATACATTTTTGTTGTTTATCTCAGAGTACATTATAATACATTGAGTTCCCAGAGGGTTTTTATGTACATATATATCTGTGGATTCTCACGTGTGTTTGTTAATGGCATTAAAAGGGTGAAAAATGGCATTAAAAAGCATTAAATTTGTTCTGCTCATTTCTGCAGAAACCCTGAGTTTAGTCTTTCTTAGCTTTACGATCATCATGTATTTTTCTGAACCCTACTTGATCATGAGCATGCTACCTGTTAGCATTAGCCAATCTGCCCATAGTTGCATTTTTTATCCAAAACTTTGGACCGGTTAAGCCTTTGCATCTTTGCTGGTTCCTTAATTTTCTTTCACAACATCCAGATTACCATCAGTAAAATGCATTTTCTTACATGGAACATACTAATGTTCAATAACGTTCTGGGGGGAAAAGGTAATTTAAAGATGTCACACCATGGCTACGTCTTAAAAATAGTTAATCACACAGTTTTTTTAATCACAAGCGCAACATAAAAGTCACATTGTACAGCCCTGCTGTAAATGTATTGGAAAAAAACAATTCAATCTTGGTCTTTAAATACAAGTAAAAATCAAGTCTTGAGGAGTTGTTAGACTGTAAAATAATTTCAAATTAACTTACCATACCATACCAATTGATTTATAAAGCACCATTTAAAAATGGCACGGCAGCTAGGGATGTAAAAAAATATCGATTTGACAAAATATCGCAATATATTTTCCTGTGATATTATATTGATACTGAAAAGCTGTGTATCGAATTTTTGGAAGAATTTACCTGAAAACATTTGTTGATTTTACTTTCTTTTGGTGTAATTCTAATGCCGACCACTAGTTGGCAGCAGTGTGCAGTGGGTTTAGTTTCCGCAACTGAAATGTAAATCCCTCTGTTATGGTTCAGAGACCTCATGTTAAGCATGTTACATATCAGTTAGGACTGTTGAATTGTCCTACAATAATTTCAGCCTAAAAATATCACTAATATCATCTGGCTGAATTTATCGCAATATATTGCGATATATCGTATTGTCTCCCCTGTATTGTGATACATATCGTATCGCCAGAATTTCACCAATACACATCCCTAATGGCAGCTAACCAAAGTGCTGTTCATAAAAGAGCCAAATGCTCGAACATATCAGCAAAACCAAGTGAAAACATGGAAATCTGGTAAAATACATAAAGGCATAGCATAAATAATCAAGGATAACATGATCAGCTTGAACTATTTGCACAGTATAAGCAAATCCTAATGAATATTCTCTAACTTGCCTTTTCCAACAAAATATTTATAGTGCAAATAAAAGATTTGGAGATGTGCTGTGGATACATGCCACTGCCGTAGCATGCAGCAGACACTACTTAGTTGAATTGGGGGTAACGCTATGGTGAATGGTCTGCTTTGTGGAAAAAAATGAGTGATTAATTATAATTTCCAGTGCATTCTAAAATCAAATAGTTCTAATTATATGTGCGACACACAGGTTGTGTTTTTACCTGAGGTTTTCCTGTTTTCTTTTACAGGTCATCTTCATGACTCCAGAGGTTAGCAAGATCTCAGTACTGTTGAGTGTGCTGGACTTAAACCCAGATGTTGGCCAGAAGACTGTGGTTGTTGCAAACTCTGCTCAGGAGGTAGAAGATGTGTTCAAGGTAAATGCTAACCTGGCAATCCATCCTATACATGTAGTTTAATATATAATATATAGTGTGGACACAATCTATAAACATCTCAGTCGTGGGGCCGAATCTACTGTTGTCTTTCAAACAGTCTCTACATGCTGTTGGACAACGAACAAGATGGTGTACTCACCGCTATAAATGCCAGTCACTGGGGCAGTCCACCATACTCCATCGAAGAATATTCAAATACTTCCTCGTTCGAAATAAAGGGCTTAGAGAGAAAGTGTGTACAGGGTGTCCGCGGGGTTTTAAAAAGTATTAAAAAGTGATAAATAAAAATAGTCAAATTTAAGGCCATTAAAAGTGTTAAATTTGGTCTCAGAGGTATTATATTTTCCAAATTAGGTATTATTTTTTCAGACTATCAGATGTCGTATTCTCAACATCGACATAGAAATATATTCCGAATGAAATGTTTTGAACAATTATAAAAATAAAACGAGCCGATTATTTGCTCCTCCCACTTGCGCTGCCCTGAGTTGCAAATGAAGCGCTCCTCCACAGTGTTGCCAACTTGGCGACTTTGACGCTATTTCTAGCAGCTTCTCAGACCCCCTTCTTGACTTTTTAAATCTTAAAAGTACCAACTACCTAGCGAACACCTCAGAAACATCTCTGGTAACCCTTAGCTACTTTCTGGATAACTGTCGTCGACATTTCCTGCAAGTTAGCTAAACACTCCGGACCGTTCTTCAGGACATTAGGAAAGGGAATGATGCAGTGATGTGTCAGTCGCTACAGAAACAGCTCTCAGAGTCGGCTCCCTGTTGGAGTAACCAGAGTGAGTGACACACACACCGCACCTGCGGACTCCTGAGCCGATAAAAACGGCTAAATGTGCGCGTGCGGCGCGTTAAACACATGTGCAGCTTGCCCCCGATTGTTGTGAGACCGGGTTGGGGGGTGGGGGGTGCAGCTGTGGTTGGGACAATTATTACATTAACTGATGGACTTGTAAATAAATAGTTTATAAATAAGGTAGAAATAAGTTCCTCACGCTGATAAATAACTAATCTCTCTGAGGACACAGTGCTAGTGCACTCTCCTACAGCACCTTGACACGACTCAATAAATGTTATGCAAAATTTAGTGAACATCAATTTGCATGTATTTGTTATAAATGCCACTGTATAATTCTTGCTGTCAGTATTAGCAAGATATTGGTATTTGGGTCTGTACTGGTTAGACTTAAATGAGTTAAACCAAGGTCTATAGCCCTTGGGTCATAAACTAGGAGCTATAAGTATATTGGTCTTTTTATACTGGGAATCAGGAGTTATTTTAGTGATCATCTTGTTTCTTGTTTATTTTTGCCCTGATTGTGCCCTGAGCAGTTTTATGACTGAATAAAAATAAAAAAATAAAAATCTACATAAATTGAAAAATCGTATTAAATAATCGAGATCTCAATTTCAGTCACAATAATCGTGATTATTGTTTTTGCCACAATCGAGCAGCCCTACTTAAGCATATCCGGTCACATAATGATGACGTCATATTCAGTGGTCGTTCTGCATCATTTCAGGCCTCGTGGTCAACTGTCTGAACCGCTGAAAAGAAGTGCCTGGCTTATTGTAAAATAAATATGTGCAATACGTTGTCAACATCAGTGAGTCTCTAAGTCTATTCTTTTTGTATGTTATATATGTTAAAATATGTGTAAATAGGTCGCTGATTAACACATGCAATTTAGTGTTGTGATGGTTTTAAAAAAATTCTGAAGGTAGTAAAAAAAGTATTAAAAAGTAGTAAATTTTACTTAAGGATTGCTGTATATACCCTGGTGTAATTTTTACCATTAATTTCTGGAAATATTTATCAAAGCAAGTCGAAAATGAATAAAATGATGTTCAGATTGACCTTTTGACTTCAATACAAACAGCAGAAGAACTAAAGAAATGTGCAGACCTTCTCGCTTGAGCCACATATCGAGAAATTACTGAATTTGGTGGTGAACAGTAAAAGTCATAAATTTGACTACTTTTCTCCAAAATGAAACCCTAATATCACAGAAAGTGTGATTATTTGTTGCAGATGTTTTGTCCACTAAGATCAATCTGTTACACAAAAACTATTGATGAAAAAAAGGTAATTTTTTTTCATAACATAACCAAGACTGATTTTATAATAAATGCCTCATGAAGAAAAAATTGTATTTTTGGAAAATAACATTTTTGTGTTTTTTCATAAATTACAGAAATTAGTTTGAGTAATCAAACTGGCATTTGAAGGGTTAAAATCTTCTAAATGATGGTAGTTTTTACATGTTTGAGCAGGACTGAAGTTGTTAGATCTATGAAAAAATGCAATATATATATATATATATTCATTTTTACATTTTTTTACAGCCATTTTTACTAGCGGGTGATTTTGTTCACAAATGACTCGTGTATAGTGTTCTTTTTTCATAGTGTTCCCTTAGTCTATTTTCCAAATTGAATTTCAAGATTTGTCCAGAGACATTTTGCGACACATTTTTGTACCATATGTACAAACAATGGTAACATGGCATCCTAAAGAAAAGTGAAAATCTGCCCAAATGGATAAAAATGAAGCCTGAGGGTTAACAGTGATGTTAGAGCTAAAAGGAAGAATATATATGTATATGTATATATGTGTATGTATATATACATATTAGGTAAAAAATGGATGAAGAAATAAGGCTTATTACATTGATTATGGGACAATTTATTGTTAGCTAAATTTGCAATTGTGACCAGTCTTTTTTGTATAAATTTGAGATGTTTATTACTAGAAAGTGCTGTTAAAATAATCGACTTATGTTTACTTTATACTTAAAGTAACACTTAACGGATTCCAGTTTTTTTTTTTTACTGATTGAAAACAGAATTACAACTGTCATAAGCAGCCCTGCAACAACCTGCTGTAGCTAGCGCCAACAATGAGCTAACACCAAAAAGTTTCATGATTTGCTTTGATTACGATTGGTGTGTCAAAGATTAATTTCAATTCAATATCTGAATGCATCATGATTATTTCATATGGGTTTATTTTGATCCATGAATAGAAGATGTCAAAAAAAATTTTTAAATCAAAAACAAGCCTGACACCGTGCCGTCCCTCAAAAGCTCTTGAATCACAACAGTCCTTAGAAACCTTTAGCAGATTAGTGAAAGTCCAAAGAAGGTAACTTTTTTAATTATGTATTGTGAGTTTGGAAAATCATGTTGGGGGGGGGGGGGGGGGGGGGGGGGGGGGGCTCGTTCACGGTAAAAAAAAAAATGCAAATGACAACTTGAGTCATCATTGGCAGTGAATGAGTTTAAAATGCAGGAAGTGGAACTATTAGTTGGAAGTAACCTTTCCGTATTAGAAAATAGGAATTGAACCTATTCAACTTTGTACAAAACAAACAATGAAAATAAATAAAAAACTGTAGAACTTGGACAAAGAGTAAATAAAACATTTAGCCAAACTAAGGGTGAAAAAAAATCTAATTTAGAAATTGTGGCTATGCTTGTGACCATCTAAACTACCTCAGTAGTAGTGTGAGCATATATGCTTTAAGCCAATTTAAAATTGAAAACAGAACCACCTGTTTCAATAAAAACTATTACATTATTTTAATAATTATGATTAAATTATGGAATAATTCAATGCAAGAAACTTGTGGCTATCAGCTTGTATAAGCACACATTATATAAGCTAAGCAACTGCAACTGTTGAGTTTTACTGTTTAATATTAAAATACTTTAAACTATTCAAGAAGATGTTTCCAGCCAGTGAATGGGGAAATTACAGCATGGAAAGCAATGGTGTTGCAAAAGTCTGCGAGAAAACGTAGTGCATGTACTTCTCACAGACTTTTGATAGAAAAGGTTGGCAGGTTTAAGGTTGTCTTCATTCAGCTGTAGGGGTGCAGAGTGCTGTCCCATGTAAATTTGTTAAATTTTTTACCAAGAAAATGAACCCCACTTAAATGTAACTAAAGTAACAAAACTTTCATTGTGTGTTTTCTATTTTCAGGCTGTGAACAACAAGTCAGCGTTTTGTCTCAAGACCCATGAAGGAATAACTCATGAGAACGACTTTGTCATTGAGCAGTGGAGGAAGGACATTGGGCCGGGGACTCATGTAATTCTAGGTAATTTTTTTTTTTTTCATTCTAAGGATGATTAACATGGCTTAAAAATAGTATTTTGTACCTACTTTCAAGTTTCATCTTTTTTTTCCCTCGCTTTCGGTTCATAATCTCCGAAAGCAGAGGTGGAATGAGTTCTAAGTAGTATTGGTACTTGTACTAATGTACAAGTACCAATACTTAGATGATTTTTTTTCATCCAATCAGTGAGAACAGGTCATGCACATTAGTTAGAAGAGGTTTTTCCAAGATTGTATGTTTCAAATGTGATTAAGTATTCTTTATTTGACAGAAAAAAAATTTTTTTTAAATGCCATCAGTATGTGCAGTTTCTCAATGTTTTCGTGACTAACCTCTAACATGACATTGTGCTCTAACCTGTCACATAATAAGAATAAGAACAACTTTATTTATCCCGAGGGAAATTCTTGTGTCATGTACATGCTCAAAGCAGTTGGAGAGACAAAGGAACAGGTGAAATAGAAATATGATATACAATATATTCATTAAAAAAAAAATTAATTAAATACATGACTGCATCCTTGTGGATAAGTAATTAAGCCGTCGGTGCAGGCGATTCACAAAAGTGATTAAAGTATTGTGTAAAAGAATATGGGTTTGTAGCAGCATATGATATGATGGGGGGATAAAAACATATTTACAATCAGAACTCTTGGGTAATATTGCACAGTCGGTGAGGGCACAGAATAACCAAGGTAATAGTATTTGGAGAATCACCTACAGCGTGAGGAAGAGTTAAACAGTCCTATTGCCACCGGTACGAAGGATTTCCTGTGGCGGTCAGTTCTGCATTTCGGGGCAATGAGTCTTTTGCTGCGTGTGCTTCGGTGGTCCATCATGTGGGCGTGCATGGGGTGGGAGGGGTTGTCCATGATAGAGAGAAGCTTTTTTAGCATTCTCCTCTCAGACACCTCCTCCAGGTTCTCCAGTCTAACACCCAGGACAGACCCAGCCCTTCTAATCAGCTTGTTCAGCCGGTTGGCATCTGCTATCTTCACCCCACTGCCCCAGCACACAGCTGCAAAGAACACAACGCTCTCCAACACCGAGTGGTAGAACATGGTCAGCATTTTCCTCCCAACATTGAAGGACCCGAGCCGCCTCAGTAGGAAAAGCCGACTCTGCCCTTTTTTGAAGATGGCATTGGTGTTCTTAGACCAGTCCAGTTTACAGTCCAAGTGTACACCCATGTACCGGTAGTCCTCAACGATCTCAACTTCAGCCCCTCTTATGGTGACAGGAGTAGGAGGTGGGGCCTGCTTCCTAAAGTCCATAATCAGTTCCTTAGTCTTTGTGATGTTAAGTTGTAGGTTGTTTCGCTCACACCACTCCACAAAGCTGTCCACCACACTCCTGTACTCCACCTCCTGACCATCCCTGATACAGCCCACGATGGCAGAGTCATCAGAGAATTTCTGCAGATGGCAAGAATGAGACTTGTACATGAAGTCAGATGTGTAAAGGGTGAAGAGGAAGGGTGATAGGACTGTCCCCTGCGGCGCCCCTGTGCTGCTCAGGATGTGATCTGAGCGGCAGCTCATCAGTCGGACATGCTGTGGTCTATTTGTTAAATAGTCCGTAATCCAACCTACAAGTGGGACGTCCACCTGCATTTCTGTGAGCTTGTTCCCCAGCAGTGATGGTCTGATTGTGTTAAAGGCACTAGAGAAGTCGAAAAACATGACCCTCACAGTGCTCCCAGCAATGTCCAGATGAGAATATGCCCGGTCCAGCAGGTAGATGAGGGCATCCTCCACACCGATACGAGGTTGATAAGCAAACTGCAGGGGATCCAGCCAAGGCTCCACCAGCAGCCGCATATGTTTTAGGACGAGTCTCTCCAGCGTCTTCATGACGTGTGAGGTCAGAGCCACTGGCCTGTAGTCACTGAGGGTCGACGGGTTGATCTTTTTAGGGACAGGAACCAGGCAGGATGTCTTCCAGAGTGATGGAACTCTCTGCATCTCCAGGCTCATGTTGAAGATCCGTTGTAAAACTCCAGACAGCTGGGAAGCACAACACCTAAGGGCCCTTGGACTGACACCATCAGGACCAGCAGCTTTGCCGGGGTGGAGTCTTCCCAATTCTTTTTTGATGTCATCTGCTGAGAGGGACAGGGTGAGACAGTCAGAGGAGGCAGGAGATGGGGGGGATGGAAGGGGATGATGGGAAGAGCTGGCTGTGGAGACAGGAGACGCAGGGCAGTCGAACCTATTGAAGTGTAGATTTAGGTTGTTAGCACTTTCGACATCCCCCTCAATCCCAACACCTCTCTTTTGTCTCAGGCCAGTGATAGCCCACATTCCATTCCACACCTCCCTGGTGTTGTTTTCCTGCAGTTTGTTTTCCAGCCTCCGTCTGTAGGACTCTTTCCCCTCAGCAATCTTGGCTTTCAGCTCCTTCTGCACCAGTTTCAGCTGATCTGTCACTATTTCTGAAAGCTCTTTTTTCTTGTTCAGGGTTGCTTTTATGTCTTTGGAAACCCAGGGCTTATTTTTGGGAAATAACAGTAATATAACGAGCCAAATTAATTTCAAACATTTCAAATGGACCGTATGACAGCTGCTAACATTAGCCCTGCCCTACTTTATCTGTACATTACAGTTCCTTAATTTGTGTCTATTCTTGTGTCCCTCTCTGAACTTCATGCTTTTTTAAAACAGCTGATTTTTAAAGTTAGCGGAGTTCGTCCTTGGTAGTGGGTTCACTCATTCATTTAACTGCTCACCACTAAAATGTTTGTTCATTCCAATCTTCCTAAATAATCATCACAATCATCCAACCGGAATCCTTAAGTGTCCCGAAACTTCCCTCCTTTCAGAATATGCCTTGGGTCCCCAGGTGTTACTAGAGCCAACTGCGTCTCCTCACCACATTGTGAGTCTCCAAACTGTGAAAGTTGGTGGCCAAACATGAGTCGGTGTCACCTTCTACTGCCCTCCTTGCTGATGACACTGATCCATGCATGATCCGATGTGAATACGCCATCGTCTCTGTTCATGACTTTGTGCCCACGTCTCCTTACTTTTTTTGCTTCCTTGGTCCATCAAAAGCTAGGCGGTAGAGGGCAATGCCGTCCTCTGCTGCTTGTGGATAAAAGAAGTTGACACCACCAACACTGGAGATCTCTGATGGCTAGAGATACTAACTGAATCATGTCTTTTTTTTTTTTTTACTAAACTGTAAAAAAAGAACAAGGAAATGGATAACGAAGATAAACACGGAATGAACGTACAAAAGAGTTGAAAAAATATGGAGAGCAAGCAACAAAGGACATCCGATGTTTGGAACAATTACATCTAAAGCTAGCACGTCTAAGAAACCACTTCCGCTTCAACTTAAGATGCCAGTAAGTGGAATAACACCGACAAGCCTATAGCTGAACACACCGGTCCAAACAAAGACAGCACAACACATAATAGAAAGAATCAAAAAAGCACTACTCAAAGAAAGGATAAGAAGCATCATAACCTGAAACAAGTGGAAAACTAACTGGAAAAAAGACACCTGGACTTAAAAAGGATTTACAAACTGGATGGATAAACAGAAAAACACAAAAAAGGTACATGATGGAGCAACAAGAAAGAGTTTAAGAAAGTTAAGCAAAGACACATTACAAAACCGTACATGACGGACAGAAAAAGATCAGTACACCCAAAGGACAAGCAGATAAAAAAACGTGGAGTCATATACGAAATACCATGCAAACTGTGCAATAAAACATACATTTGAGAAATGGAATGCCAACTCAACACACCAATGATTAGAGTATCAAAGACTGTGCGAGAGGGAATCCAGTCGAAGATCCACAGGAGCAGCCGAACAAGAAACAGAAAGTACAATAAAGAAACCAGCTGTAAGAGACCACTTCACAAGAGAAAATCATATAATGAACTAAGACAGCATAAGGATCATAAACACAGAACAACAAAAATACAAGATGGATCAAGGAAGCAATAGAAATAAGAAGATGTGAACACAGAGACGATAGAGTATTCACATTAGATCACACATGGGACTGTCATCAGCAAGGAGGAAGTGGGCAGTAGAGGGTGACACCGTCTTCTGCTGCCAGCGGATAAAAGGAAGTGACACCACCAACACCGGTGATCTCTGATGATGGCTAGAGATAATAGCTGAAACATGTCAGGTAAAAAAATTATTCTTTACTAAACTGTGTAAAAAAAAAACAAGAAAACGAATAGTTCATCCTGTTGGAGATAAACACATTGGGTTTCTATTGGTCTTGTCTGGACATGAGCTGTCTGAGTCGTGCTATTTGGTGAAGATGATAAAACACTGATCTAGTTATAGCCTTAATGTGACCAGTAAAGCTCAGATCTGAATCAATTATGACTCCAAGATTTCTAACCTGGGTCTTTGTCTATTCCTCTGGAGCAAAGTTACCTCCATCCTATCCTTCTTATTTCCAAAGATAATAACTTCAGTCTTGTCTTTAACTGGAGAAAGTTTGACTGCATCCAGTCATTAACTTGCTCCTAACACTGACTAATTCTAGGGGATTACAGTCACTAGGTAATAAAGCTAGGTAGAGCTGGGTGTCAGCTATGATTAGCAATTTTGTTATTGCAAATGACCTGACCCAGGGGGAGCATGTAGCGATTGAAAGCAGTAGTACAAGATTGAGCCTTAGGGGGCCCCACATATCATGGTGATCAGCATCAATTTGTGATCACCAACAGACAACATAATCTCCGTCTTAAAGATGTGACTGGAACCAACTATGGACTGTGCCTGATGGTCCCACTCAGTTTATGAGCCTATCAAGAAGGATGTTGTGGTCCACAGTTTCAAAAGCTGCACTGAGATTGAGCATCATCAGTACAGATGTTTTGCCTTAACTCGTATTTAAATGAATATCATTTAATACCGTAATCCAGTGCTGTGGTGTTGTCTAAAGCCTGACTGGAAACTATCTAGCAGGTTGTTGTCTCCAAAAATTGTTCAGCTGGATCATAACTGCTTTTTCAATAATTTTCTCAATGAAAGGGAGATTAGAGATTAGTCAAGTTCTTTTGTATGTTCATTCTGATTTTATTCGTAATTATCACTTTTTTTTCTTACACAGTTAAGTAAAAAATATTTTTTTACCTGATGTTTCAGCTAGTATCTCTGGCCATCATCAGAGATCGCCTGTGTTGGTGGCATCACTTCCTTTTATCCGCAGGCAGCAGAGGACAATGTCTCCCTCTACTGACCGTGTCCAAACCTAGTTTGTATATAGTGGTGAACATTAAGCATGGTTTTGGAACAACTTTGAATCCGGAAGTAGTTGCGGACCCAGTAACAGGTTCGTTGGGTTTAAGTGGTTAAATGAGCCAGCTAACCACACATCTTACTTGATTAAAAAATCTGAACTTCATGTGAATTTTAAATTCTTTGAATAACATCATCTTTGTTTAGACAACAACACGTTTTCAAGAAAGAAAGAAAAAGACTATTTCTGACAACAACCAAAGAATGAGAACTGAAGAAACCTTTAGGATACAGTGGTGTTTTTGGCGGCCATCTTAGTTTTAATCTCGGTGTCTATCTCAATGCCAAGCAACCTCGCCTTGATGTTTTGGTCTCCCCCTGGTTGCCTAGGAGATACGTCATCAGGAACCGCCAAGACTTGTTCCAATGTTCATGTTCTACTGAGGCATGTGTTCTCCGTTTGTTAGCCTTTTAGCTAGCTGAGTAAGGATACACCGGAGGTGTCTTGTAGCCTAGCCTTGGTCAAAAATTTCTCAGAATACACCGCTGTATTTTCAAAAGTATGGCGGATCAGAAGCCTACAGCTGCTTCGGGGGCAAATTTCAAGTTTAAATGTATGTCAACTAATTTAATTTTTATTTATTTATTTTTATTATTATTTTTTTTAGATCCAAAAAAGTTATCTATGGTTGGTTAGTTGCTTAGTAGTTGCAGCTTTGGTGGCTAGCAGGTAGTAACTCACATACAAATTTAATTTAAAATATATATACACAATTTAAAAAGTAAAAGTCTTGTTCTATATTTATATTGAAACTTATAAAATATAATGTTATTTCCCGTGTCACGTGACGTTACGTGACTGCCGTGGTCACGTGATGCAAGTTTGTTCCATTTAACCCTTTTCTTTGACCAAGGAAGGACCGTGTCCTCGTAAGCAAGGCTCCTGGCCTCGCAAGACATCACCTCGCAAGGCCAGGCGCCTTGACATTAAGAAACATCCTTAGTCTTAGACTTGACGACAAAAATGCATTTTAGTCTTTGTCAGTTTTAGTCGACTGAAATTCAAAAAGGTTTAGTTGAGAAAGACTTTGGTTTTTAATTTTACAAAACATTAAACAAAGCATTTTTCTCCCAACAAATAAATTCATAGGTCAGACATGTACTCTGAGCTGAGCTGAGTTTCATACCAACATCATTTATTTTATGGCTATGGGACAAAATCTTAGCTGCCCCAGATTTTGTAAAACAATAATCCCCAGACTGGTATCGTTCTTTGCAATTGTTGGACAATGATGGCTAGCTGTGGTATTGATTGCACTAACCGACCATCCAAGAACTCTGTTCCATTTTTTTATCGTTAGGTAAAGTTATATTTCTGCACTTTAATTCGCTGGTTGAATGGGGGGAAATTCTGTGCATTTGACATAACACTGCTTACTCAAAAATTGGTTGAAATATGATGTGTTGGTGGTGCTGGCAGGGTACTGAAACTTGAGCTAAGTGGACGAACAAAGCCAATAGGTTTTCCGGCTTCGCTGGTCAACCGAGATCAATGATCCTCAAAGTTGCTGCTGCAGAAGGAAGGAAGACCAAGTTTCGATACTGTGTCCCTCCCATCAGCAGCGGCAGCCCTGCAGTCAGATCCGCAAATCTGCCGCTCCAGCTTCCCTGGTGCAGCCGATTAAAGATTTCAAATGTACTTCAGGTTGTTTGTAATTATCGTTAATTGATCTTAAATTTGTGTTTAATTACAGATAAAATTTGTTAATATTCAAAATTTCTGTTCTTGTCAAACCCTTATTGATATTGGTTGACATCAAGTTTTCCTACTGCCATTTCTTTTTCTCTGATTTGTAGTGACCACCAGTGCATGTCTGAGGTGTCTCGGCATCAGAGATGCAACTTGCCTCGTCCACTTTGGATTTCCTACGTCTCCCAAACAGTTTGGAAGCAGATTCTTCTGTATGTCTGAAAACTTCAGAAATCTCTCTCAACAGGTAAGGACAAGCGAACTGTTCAGCTGGAATAACTATTTTTCTATTTAACCAGTGAAAACTTTCAAAACTTCCAGTTTTGCTATGATGGGACATGCATTTGGTCTTGCTGCTGCTCATTGTCTTGCTGCTGGAAATGTTCTGTCTGGACAATTTCATTTTTCTTCTGTTTAGTTATTGTAATGGGGATGTTCCACCTTCTCTGGCATATGATCATAAATTAAAGCTGCTCCGATCCCATTACGTAATTTTCAATGGATCGGATTCTGGTGGGAAAGATTAGATTTGACCATATTAAAAAACAAACTGTACTTTTTAAATTTATCCTGAGAGAGATTTTCAAACAGAATAAGAATGGCTTAGTTTTAGGGCTGCAGCTATCGAATATCTGAAATAGCAGGACATAATACAGTTAAAGAGCAAATTGTAGAAGAAAATAGTCGAGTGTGGAAAGTGGTCAGTATGTCCTCAAGCAGTCTAAGCCTATAGCAGCATAACTACAGAAATAACTCTGGACAACTTAGCCCTTTAGATGGAGTCATGTTGGAGGAAGGGCAAGGGAGAGCTAGTGTCTGTACAGGATCTGCTCGGGTGCAAGATCGGCTCGGTGTCCTTCGACTGCCGATGACTTCAAAGTACGGCAAACCCACTCGGACAAAATACACTACACATCTATACTGTTGGAAAGAATTTAGCAGTTTCGTTATTGAAATAATGTTTCTTATGACGTAAGTTTGTGTTTATAATGGTATTTGTAAAATAAAACACTATCTTGTATTCATAATGTTGAACTCCTCTTTGAGCACATCCCTTGAAGGATCATAGGTATTAGCAACACCTGTGAAATTGTATTTGCAGGAAAGAATTGTGTCCCGTTTATTGAAGTATTTTGTGTTTAGAGTTTTTGACGTCTTGTCCATGCGTAGTTCAGTTAGGCTCATAGCTGCTAGCCAAAACTCTGGAGTTAAGTTTCTGGCTTTACTAAAATACCTGTCTGTACTTATTTGATTGATGGTAGTTTTACTTTCTATTAGACTCCAAATGTAATCATTTGGCACGTTTCAAATTCACAATTTGTAATAATGTAATCGGTGATATTAGCATTCCTATGGGTTTTTCCATGTATATTAGCATTGCGCTAACCACTCACTGCCAAATTGCAGCCTTTGCGATTAGAAAATCTCCTGTTGTCACATCGCAATTTAGTTGCACATGCAGTTAATCGTTCAGCCCTAATATACATGCAGCTCTATGCTAAAAGTGTATTTTCAAAGAGGTAATGATGGATTTCTTTGTAAAAGTTGTCCATCTTTCCAACAGAAAAATTTGCCTGGACCAACGTAACGTGATAACAACGTAACGTGATTACGTAACTTCCGTAAGGTTCATGCTCAGCCAATCAACTACTTTGACGTCATCGGCAGTCGACGGACCCCGAGCCGATCTTGCACCCGAGCAGATCTTGTACCGACGCCGTCTTTACCGACTGTATTCTCCACCTCCCTCTACTCCCCCACTTGTCCAGATCTGGGCTAACATCAGAGTGTAATTTAATTATTTATGTTAGGGGTGGGACTCGATTAAAAAATGTATCTAATTATTGGAGGCTTTTTAATTAATTAGTCACATTATAATTTTTTATCAGGAAATGTGCCCTCAAAGCATTTTTTTAATGAAAAACAATGAGGTAGAGAATCAAACATTAGACATTGTTGTTATTACTGTAAACTAAAGCTTTTAAATTTCTAAAAAAAGTGCATTTTAATTATTCAAATGTCACTGTGATAGCAAACAAGACCCAAATCAACTAAAATGTATAATTACAAATAGAAAACACATACAAATTGTTTCTGAGCCTTTAGGTAGTAAAAAAAAAAGAGAGGGGGAGAGAAATCCTTAATAATGACAGTAGAACAGGCACAAATATGATCTTAATTTTACTGACTTTTAACACCAGAGCAGGCATGACATATTCAGACAATGATCAAGAACACTAACTGGTTCCAGTTGGGTTACTAGAGGATGATGGGAAGATAAAAGATCATGGCGAGGAATTAATGATCTGACGAACAGGTGAGCGGACCTTCCTTACATGTTCCTCGCTGCCCTTGATGCACTTAAACATCCTCCACTAACTCCTGATCAGCTGATGACTGCTTCAACACACCTTGCTGCTTAATGATAGTAACACGTGATCTTTAGACAGTCACTCGTCTCAGAAACATAAAATAAACAGACAGAATTGTTTAGAAAATTATCTGAGAGATTTTAGGTTGTTTCTGTTATTTCAAGACACGTTTGTGATTGTTTACAGAGGAGTGAGAACACGGAGCATTTTCCCAGCTGTGGCCAGGTGCCTCTCGTTTGTCTGACTACTTTCATAAATAACTGTTAAGGCAAAAATGATTCTGTCTGGTGCTTTCAGTGCTGCACAACTGTTGCATAAATGCACACGATCTGCTGTTTCTCACCAGTATCATCTGATGGAGGGCTTTAGTTTCGTTGCACCTTTTGTGTCAGCGAACACGGTCGGGGAGGGAGGCGGGGCATGAAGCTCAGTCTGGCGGGTGGCCACGCTTATAAGGCGCTGGGGGGAACCCTGCATTAACAGAGCACTGTGTTGTGTGCGTCAGTGATATTCCGTCTACGAGGAAATCATGCAACGACAAAAGTTCTGCCTTGCTTGAAATGCAAGCTGTGATTAAATGCGTGAATTTTTTAATGCATAATTTTTGTTTAATTATTGAAAAATAATTTATGCGTTAAAGTCCCACCCCTAATATATATATATATATTGACACGTTTCTTATTGACGTACTTCCTGAAAGAGGCAGATAAACTAAAGAAATGACACAAACACAGAAAGAAATGCATAAATGATAATAAAGAACTTAAAAGGACAACTGTAGTGTGTTCTTTTTTCCTAATGCATTTCGGATCGAGACTCTATCGATAGATTCTTAAAATCAAATGACTCACACTCATATTGGTTTCAAAAACCATGATCAGAACATCGCTATCATAAATGTTGCTGTTTAGTCAGAATGCCATGCTAGGTGGTCACAGCTTCTCAGCTGGCTTTTCCACACCGCTGAGTGGTTCTTCTGCAGGTACTTTCCAGAGTGCTCCTCGGGCTTTGCACAGATTTTGGAGGAGAAGGAATAAAGCGAGTTTAAAGCCGGGGTTACACCAGCCGCCGAAGCGCCGCGAAACGGGGACCGCCTTCATTCGGCGCCCTTGTTATCCTATTCTACACATGTCGAAGCGCCGCGCGCCAGCCCGCGCCGTACAGCGATCGTTTCGGCGTCTGCTCTATTTTTTTCGCGTTAATTCTGGCAGGAAGTCAAACCTAGACATAAGAGGCAGGCCAGTAAATTTAACAAAATAAAGCATTTCAAAATACAATTCCGCGATAGTTAAATGAGTTCGTAAACAGACACTGCATAACCCCCCCCCACACACACACACACACAGCGAACTCGTGTGTGTGTGTGTGTGTGTGTGTGTGTGTGTGTGTGTGTGTGTGTGTGTGTGTGTGTGTGTGTGTGTGTGTGACACCACGTGAAGGGTACCCGTGCGTGCCTGGGAATGGTTTGTGGATTGGGGTGAAATTGTCACAATTGTTTTAAGTGTGGGAAAGGGAGGGAATGTGGGTTATATGGGTCATTTAAATCTGTTAAGCACTTTGTGTTGCATCCTATGCATGAAGAGTGCTATATATAGTTGGGCTGTCGCGGTTGAGGAATTCCCCCTGCGGTGATTCAGGGTGGCTTAATATTGCGGTGTGCGATATTATTGCAGCCCTTTTTTTATTGCAGTACTATCTAAACATAATGTTTACACATTTAAAAAAGGTTAAAAATTGCCGTGCCTTCTTTTATAACACTTCACTGAATGATCGCAGTAACGTTTGTTTCTCCGACAGTCGGAGTCCGACTGAACTTAAAAACAACAAAATTCAGGAGAAGGTTAAACTTTTAAATGCAAATTTGGCTGCAGCATCTAACAAATAAGAAACAAGTCCCCATTTTGTTTAGTTGTTTAAAATCAAGCATAAAAAATTACATGTACCCGGTGCGGGGCGGGGGGTTGGGGCGCACTATCATTTCACTTTCACACACGAATGACGGTGATTTATAGCTCGGTCACGTCCTTGTTACCTACAAGGAAAACCAGCATGTTAGCCATATACGGTTTGAGAGAGGATCTGAGAGGGGTGGCAACATTTCCAGCAACACTGAAAACCCTCTCGGATGGTGCGCTCGTTGTACTAACGCACACGTACTTGCGCGCGACTCTGGCGAGCAAAGGGAATCTCTCCCGGTTGTTGCTCCACCATGTCAGGGGGGTTTCTTTAGGGTGGATGCATTCCTCCTGCAGGTAGCGAGTGAGCTCCAGCTCGGCTCAAACTCTCTTCGGGACGGTTGCAGAAGCAGTGCTTGTCCGGGACTTCAGCAGGTCTCCGAGCGTTTATTTATTTGCCGCTGGTGGCAGCTCTGTCTCGGCCAAGGACTCTGGCTGCGCAGCAGCTGACAGACTGAAAACCAAAGTGCTCCCAAAGGAGCGAAGTAACGTTTAGTTTTGATACCAGCGCAGCCATCCTTCTCAACATGCATCATTGAGTTGAATCAAGTTCAGTAATTGCGGTGGCCCATGATGCAGCGCGGTGGGCTTCTTCATATTGCGATATTTCATTTTTGCGGTTACCGCGACAGCCCTAATATATAGTTAAAAAGCGGCACCTGCTCAATAAAACAACTAACGGTGAAAAATATCTAAATGTTGTAGGCACAGATGGGCTACAACTTCTGGATCAATTATTTACAAATTGTTTTATTAATTTTCTTCTGTTAAAAGATAAATTTGACGTCCATGAGCGACTGGTATTGGTTGCTGTCACCTGCCGTGATCGGGTCTGAAAGTTATCAGAAATAGCGACAAATTTGCTACGCTAACAATACTGTGTAGGGGTGCTCTCAATTCGAAACTCAGAGCAGCGTGGGAGTAAACCACAAGGAAGGTTATCGTCTCATTTTCTTTTATGGTCGTTTAAAACCCAGATGGTAATTGTGATTTAAATTTAGTTAATCATGCAGCCCTTTGCACAAGCTAGTTCAGGTTTACACAGAGCAGAATGAAGGTGAGACTGTGTGTTGGGGCCACAGCAGGTCAAATGTTTCTACTGAAACAGTTTAATTGCATGTTCATAAGTGACTGGGTTACTCTAAATATGTATTAAAAATGAAGGAAAATTAATTATGTAAAATTTTTATTATTTATAAAATGAAAGTCACCGGAAAAAGTTGATCACTACCTTTTTTTTTTTGCCACCCTGTCAGTGAAAATGACAGATGTAGCGTAGTTAAACTACATGCTAGGATTTAACACGGTTTGCTATCAGTTTGGTTAGATCCTGAGAAAAGATCAAACAAGTTAACAAATGAAGCTTCTATCACAAATAAATATCTAGGATATTAAAATATTTGATAGAAGTTCATACGCCAACGAGCTTGGTCTATATTTAATCCAAAGATTAATTTTTAATTTTAAGATAATTAGATTTTAGCAAAAGTTTATTTATTGAATCAGAAGTTAAAGGAATCTTTGCTTATTCAATAACCAAAATATTCACCATTCTGTGTTTCATTTCAAAGAAGAGTCAGGTTTTAGAAAGTTAAGAATTTATTACTAATTTTTCACTAATTTATTACTAATATTTATTACTAAAAATGACAATTGTAAATGACAATTTGTAACTGACAATTTGAAACCGCTTGATACTAAAACAAACCTGTGTCTGGATGGAGAACTAAAATGGAATGCAAGGTTTGGATGCGTGAATGAATCTCAGAAGGTTTCTTTTAAAGAGAGAAGCGCGTTCTGGGTGAAAAACATTGTTTTGCAGCTAACTGATGTTTCGTAGAAAACAGCATACAGACGCCATCTGTCGGACAATGTCTACCTCACCCAGTTCAGGAGACCCTCCGTGGATCCGAGGTGTCAGGGAGATCGTTTCCTCCGGGCATGAGGTTGGTAGAAAGACGTTGGTGCGTCTCAAATCGGTCCTGAGATGTCTCCGTGGGTCACACGACGGACGAAACTATTTGCGTCTCAAAATCAATAACTCTGAAGGAGTTTTTGCGTCAGCTGGAAACGGGTGCGTCTATTCGGAGCAATTCTATCGGCGTGACAGAATGCTTACTGAGGCTGGGGCGGCCGACCCTCGTCCTCTGGAATGGTTCAAGAACTGACTTTGAGCTGCAGAGATTTGGTTTTAACAAAACCTCAGAACACGCCCTCTCAGCGTCAGAAAGCTCGGTGTCATGGAGTAAAGACATGTGAGGTGGTTTACCTTTACACTGGATTCACCCTCTGCATGGTTTGTACACGTAAAAATGACCTTCTGGTTACTGACCACACATTACTGATTATCATGAATAATTATCATTATTAACCCAAAGAATAAGTCATTTCAGTAATTTAAATACATTTATACTGAACATGATGATTATTTTATGATGATTGTAATGAACCTTGTAATAAACAGTCAAAGAGTTTATTAAAATTATTATTAAAAAATTATTATTTCAAAATCTTGAAGTGTCCTTCATCTTGGGACGGAACAGCAGCCAGATAAAGATGGTGTTCAGCAGACATCACGGCTCCTGGCGGGTAATCTGTGGGACAAAGTTACAGCTTGACCCAGCTGGGAAAGTGTGACCTTTGGGTCACAAATATGAGGCCATTCATGACGCTACACAGACAACAAAAATATCTAACGTGACCTCTGATTGGGATATCCAAAAGAATAAAACTGATCCAAATGGTTCTTCTTTCCCTCAGGTGTGCTCCCAGGATCCTAGAAAGGTGGCCAGGTCTGTGATGCTGATCTCAGAGGGGAATGCCCGCCATGTTTTGGGAGTTGAGCGCTATTTGAAAAGGACTAATGCCCCACTGCCCCCTGAGCTGGTGTCCTTTGCCCAGGAGGTTCATGCGATCCGCGAAAACCTAAAGGCGGACCGGCCTCTCTGCAACCACCTGAAGAGATTTGGATTCTGCAGGTAGAATTTATCTGGATTGCTGGGCTGGCCAGCATTGCTCCTCCTCACTCGAACTGTCCCAGAACTGTTTCAAGAAACCTAATCAGACTCTATAGAATCTCATGTAAACTTCTGGGGCCTCATTCATCAAACGTTTGTAGAAATATTCCTAAATTTGATCCTATGAACAAAATTTAGAATGTTTGGATGAACGGTTAGAACCCTGATTTATGAAACATGCGGTGGCCACTCTTACTGACATTCCTTCTCAGTCGTCTGATGATAAATCCCACCTTGCGTACCTAAGTGCTCGTGTCCATTCTCAGTCATTTACATACAGAAACGCCCTCAGTTACCCATATTTGGTCACGCTACGTCCTCAGCACGTGAGGGGATTCTCTGCGTTCTAACTTAAAAAAAAAAGAAAGAAAGAAAATTTGCGAGATCGTTACACTGGCTGCCGAAGTTCAGAATAACCAAACAAGTTGCAGAGGTAATAAACGCAGTCCAGACAGAAGAGAGGTTCCCATCAGAAATAAATAATTACTTTAATGTGATAAATCGTAGAGTAGCTGGTTATTTACATTTTACATTTAAGGAGTCATTCTGGATGGTGTTTGTTTTATTTGGAAATGTCTGAGTGCAGCCTCTTCTGCACTGTCATTCAGCCTGGTTACCTTGACAACGCGAGCAAAATCACGTATAATTAGGAACATTTTTACACACAGGAACAAAATGATGAATACCGCACAACGCGTAAATTAGTTGCAACTCTCGACATACGCACAGATTTGTTCGTAAGTATGGTTGATAAATGAGGCCCCAGATTCTTACCAGTTACATCTGTCAACTTTGATTTGTGCAGAAACAGCAGTGTGTGTCCTGATCGCCACAAGTTCAGTTCCCAGCTGGATCAGTCTGAGCTCCCTGCATCTGGACTGATTGAAGTGAGAATGGTTTGGTTCTGTTATCTCCTCATTGTTAAACTGCCAGTCTGTCTATAGCAAAGTCTCTGTGGGTCTGTATCAGGCAGAAGGGAAATCAATCATTTTATGTAAATGTGTTATCAACCACAAAAGTTTCAAACATTGATATAAAACTGAAAATGTCCTGGTTGTGTTTGTCTCCCAGGTCGTTCCTCTTCATATCAAGTCTGCTTCTGTGTTTTACGGCCATGTGATCAGGAAGGATGACAGCAGTTTCAAAGCAATGACCACAGAGATGGCTGCTTTTTATGCTGACAGGAAACTAGGAGCCAGTGACCTGCTCCTGGGAGGCCTGTATGCAGTTCAACAGGACCAGGAATTCCACAGGTCCTACCAATGTTTCTTCAGAAAAACAGCCATGGCAGTAGGCAGGCTCTTTCTTGGGCTCACTCTTGTCTGCACTTATAAAGTTTTATGACTTGCTGCACTAGCAAGTGGTTTTTGTTCAGGACCAAAGACAGAGCAGTGTTTTTTGCGACTTTGTCACAACCTGCGTGAAACATCAATTTGCAGTGCGGCTACTTCATTAATCTTTTTTTTTTTTTTTTGTCCAACTTCAGATAATCAAAATATGTCCACACAAACAAGTTGTTCAGTCCCTTATTGCCAATAATGTCATCCGTGGTGGCCTCCCTCCTTTTCAGTCCCTTTTGGAGCGCAAATTTCTTTTTTCTGTTTTTTCTATGTTACCTGCAGTAAGTGGCTAAAGCAGTTAGCGTGTGTGGCTTCTCTTGGGCTGTTAGTGTGGCTCCATACATGATTGGTTCAGTGCAGAACAACACCTAGTATGATTGACCGTTCTTTAAATTGAAGGTTTATACCAACCTGTTCTCATGTGGAAAAGTAATTTTTGGTTGATGTAACAACCCCAAAAATATTATATTACAATTATTTGGCCACATTCTAATTTACAAGCATTCTTTTAATGTATTGTCAGCGTAGGATGACATGAACATCCTCCCATTCTCAAGGCTAAACTCTCTTTAGTTTGGTTTTAAAATGTTAGGGTTACTAAAGACATCAGAACGTAAGCAAAGCTCCGAGCCTGCTTATGAAGCTCATCAGCTATGTGCCATCAATGTTAGGCCTATGCCATGCTCATATGTGCCTCTGACAGGGTGAAGATCCTTTCATTAGATGATCGCGATGACCGCTTGTTTTTCACCGTCATGGTTTCCTTCATCGACGTGGGAAAGGAGGAGGAAGTGAAGTCCCATGAGATCCTTCAGCTCCCAGATCAGTTCCAGTCTCTACCTGGTCAAGCGGTTGAAATTATATTCTGCGGAGTGAAGCCAGCTGATGCTGAGGCTGACTGGCATCCCAAGGTTTCACTTTTCTCTTTGCCTCACACATTCTCAGTATTATTCATTAATAATACCAGACTAATTTGTTGTTTTTACCATACTGAAAACATTTTTGTCACATTTTTCAATGCTCACTTGATCAACTCTGTCTAAAAGGCTGTTAGTACTCATAAACCACAATTTCATTAGTTCCTAAGCATGAGCATTTGCCATGATTGTTGGCAGAAAGACCGTTTACACTATCAACATCTATACTGTAGGGATTTCCCGTTACAACTTTTTCACTTCCAATACGATACCGATATTGTAGCTTTCGGTATTGACCGATATTAATCCATTACGATGTCGGACTTAAACGAAAAAAACAGCCACATTGCCGACATTGTTCTTTTCTACTTTCCTAGAACACACTGTTTTGATTACATGGACTATGCATGCTGGATCTGGGCGCTGATGGATAGAATTGCTGGAATAGAATTTAAAGTGGTACATACCGCTAATATTGAGGATTTTTGATGCAATCCAATGGAATCCGATAGTGTTTTTGGGCCGATACCAGATATCAACATGGGAATGGGACATACCTCGAATTCTATAAAAAAAAAAATCCAAATGGGAAGTTCCCACCACCGCCATTTTGACTGGCACACGTCCCGTCATGCCCAGACATTACTAAAATGGGAAAAGAGTTGGAGTTGTTTCTGGTACACATTTTGGCTGTACGTCTTTGAGCTTTATGACCTCCATCTTACCTTTAGACAAACACTTAGCTCTTGTCTCCCAAGTTCAGTTGTTTCTAGCAAATATTCTCATGTAAATTTATAATTGCACATAAATTCATGTTTTGTTTGGCAGGTCACCAGAGTGATTCATCACAAGATCCGAGGTCTGCAACATCAAGCAAGGGCAGTTCTAAGTCTGGGAAACACTGTTTTTGTTGATTCTTTGGTAAGCTTTCAATCTGTAATCTGAGATGAGATTCAAAATATACCAGCATTGAATGATTTGATAATCTTAAATGCTTACTTTGAATTCCCAAAACCCCACAACAGTTTGTGTCATCAGAAAAATTTAAAAGGTTGTTGGAAGATTTTTGCTTTCAACTCTTCTTAGTGTTATAGTAGATCCCGTTCAGCTGCCAGAGAATAAGTTTCTATGATAGAGCCTGTGCATGATAGCAAACGCTAGTTCCGGTTGATGAACTCTGGAGAGTCGTGGTATGTCCTGTCCCCTTCAGTGATGCCAACATGGATGGTGCCTGCAGTGAACTGTACTTTTCCAGATCCCTAAAGAATTAGCAAAAATTTCAGTCAATGACATTCATCGTATTGTCGACACTTTTTCATCTGCTCCACAAAACAAACAAGAAAATGGATTCAAATTGTACAAGTGCACCTGAATGTGCACAGCTATGAAGGTGAGTAGTACTCATCAGACCAGGCAACATTTTTCAAGTCTTCAACTGTCCAATTTATGTGAGCTGGTGCAAGTTGTAGCCTCTTTTTCCTATTTGTAGTGGAGATGAGTGGTACTCGGTGGGGTCTTCTGCTGTTGTAGCCCATCCGCCTAAAGGTTGTGCGTGTTGTGGCTTCACAAATGCTTTGCTGCATTCCTCGGTTGTAACGAGTGGTTATTTCAGTCAAAGTTGTTCTTCTATCTGCTTGAACCAGTCGGCCCATTCTCCTCTGCCCTCTAGCATCAACAAGGCATTGTCGCCCACAGGACAGCTGTATACTGGATGTTTTCCCCCCTTTTCACACCATTTTTTGTAAAACTTAGATATGGTTGTGCGTGAAAATCACAGTAACTAAGCCAATTGTGAAATACTCAGACCGGCTCGTCTGGCACCAACAACAGTGCCATGTTCAAAATTGCTTAAATCACCTTTATTTTCCATTCTGACATTCAGTTTGGAGTTCAGGAGATTGTCTTGACCAGGACCACACCCCTAAATGCATTCAAGCAACTGCCATGTGATTGGTTGATTAGATAATTGCATTAACTCAGTCACTGCCAGCTGTTTCCTCATCAGAAAAGCCCTTCTTTGCCAGCATTTTTCAGCATTTTTTGCTGTTTTTTAAGAGTCACAGAACGTTGCGCGATACGATGTCAGTGCCAAAACTAACAACACAAAGAATAGACTCACCTCTTACGTCAGCAAGAATCTGTGCATTCCAAGCATTATCCGTTCTTTTCATAATCCATTGTCGAATTGTGATCGGCAGAAGCTTTTCCAGTTTGCTTTTTTTTATACAGCAACGGCCCAAAACAATTTCCTAACACATGGATTTTCGGTTTCCTGATCACGTGAAGTGTTACGTACGCGGTTGAAGATCAGCTTTAGAGCTGGGATGTTTGTTCTCACGGTGCGGGGGCTTGTTCTGACGTCTTACACAGTAAAAAAGTGCAAATAGTGAACAGTTGGGTTTAAAATGACGACTTTTCGTCAATGGCAGTGAATTAGTTGAGGAGAAGTTATACAGGTGTTCCTAATAATAAAAATCCTTTAGGTGAGTGTTTATTAATTCTGGACATAGGATCACTCATTTCACTCAATTCTCTAAATGAAGCAAAATCTGGGTGGTTCCCATCACCGCAATCTTGGTTGTGCCACGCCCAGACAATCCAAAAATGGTAAAAAGAGTGGAGCTGAAAATGGGTCTAAAGCCTAGTGACATGCAACACCATTATACATTGTTTTGAGGGCTCTCCAGCTGGCTCAGTAGAACGTACGGAGTCAAGCCCACTTTTCTAAAACATCTGTTGAACGAGATGGAGAGTGCAAGCTTGTGATTGATCAGGATGCCTTTAAATTTGTCAAGCGCACATTGTGCCCTAAAAAAATAGAGCCGAAAATATCTAGGGCCAGACTCGAAGCAGCTTGAAAAAAATATACATTTTGTTCACCTGTGACTGGAGTTGTATAAAAGATATGCATGTAGCGTTTTATTCGTGGACAGAAATGACGGGAAACTTGTTTGTAGAAGTGGTGTGTGCATAAAGAGGTGGAGAAGAATGAAGGACAAATTTGTTTATGTTAAGAAGTCTCTGAAACACAAAAAACAATATAAACACAATAGTAAATACACTCTTGGATTTGATACAAGATATAATACCCCAGAAAAGTGCTACACCCTCTGCTGTCCTGGTGAGGATTTCCTTTGCATCACTCTCCAGCAAATGGAGAAGTCGGTGCATATGCATCTCTCCCTCATGGACCTGATGCAGAAACATAAACTAGGCTTGAGGATGGGAGAAAATGAACCAATGTAGCTACTAGCTAACTGGGTTAACCCCCGAAGCTAAGACGGAGCTAGGAGCTAATATCAACTGTTCGGCTGCCTGGCCTCGATGCTAGGCTGTAGTCATGCTGGTCACCTGTGAAGCTGTCTGAGGAAGACTACAGAAACATAGCAGCTAGGGCTGCAACAACGAATCGATAAATTCGATGAAAATCGATTACTAAAAGCATTGGCAACGAATTGCGTCATTGATTGTTGTGTCGCACAACTCTTCCAGACCAGAGCAAGTCAGATCAGCGCGAGGGAGAGCCGGCAGATCAGCGCGAGGGAGAGCCGGCAGACTTGCGCTGCTGCGAACCGGTTCCGCCCAAGGCCGGATTAACTGGGCAATTGCCCAGGGCCCACGAACTCTAAAGGGCCCAGGGCACAAGCAAAATACTGTATCTATAATTTCCCGCTTTATGAGGACTATGGTGACCGTACGTTCCGTTTTCCCCGGACATGTCCACTTTTCACTCTGTCCGGGCGTCCGGACTGCGGGTTCTTGTATTGATGAAAATGTCTGGCTTTTCATCCAGGAGCAGGGATCGAATTATGGGGGAGCTGTATATCTTACACATCCAGGAGAGCTGGAAAAAAGTTTCCTATATTAGATCATTTTTGGACTCTTTTGAGCAGAGAGCGGCACAGCGTATTGTTGCGCAGCGATCCAGGCAGCTGCTTCCAGCGCACGGTCCATTCTCAAAGTGGCGCAACCAAAAAACTATAATTAGCACACGATCGTTCATGTCCGCACATGTTCTCTATTTTCTGTCTTATTTGTGCCTGAAGCGCGCTACTGCGGAGCTCATCACCTGTGCTGTGGTGATGTCACCTCACGCAGCATCGAAAACGCGCTCTGCGCTTTTCGGTCAGGAGATCCCTTTGATCTGCTCAAAAGAAACTGATGAGGTGAAAAAGTAAGAATCCAGGCAGCAGATTTTCTGGAGAATTAAGTGGAGATGCAGGAAGATGAGAGACAGACAGGACAGGAAAATGGTTAAATAAAAACAAGAAAACAAAAAGTGTTGAAAAGTAAAATGTAGGTAGATTTATCTCCACTACACGTTTTTACCAGTAAAAAACAATAAGTTATACACATGTCATATTTATACATCTGATACAATTAAGATCACCTTCACAACTCAGTCACACACCCAGGGCCGTTTCAAGACATTTTGGGGGCCAAGGCAAAATGCCCCCCCCCCCCATAACTGGGCTCCCCAGAAGCCTCTGTGTAATTCATACCCTCTCCAGTAGTGTTAGTTATACAGTGTTTATAAAAGCCCCTCAGACATTACTGACATGTTCTAATATTATCAGATGAAAAACTAAATTATCAGACATGCTGTCTCATCTGCTTCTTTTCTAGACTTGCAAAAAATAACAAAACCGTTTGAAAGCCACGATTTGTGGATTCTCTGAAAGTTTCCATGGAGTGTGTGACAACTTATTTTATCATTGATCCTATCGTCTAATCTCACAGCTGAAGCATCCTTAATAATCTGTGCACAGGAAGCTTACCGATGCTGTAGTAAAACAAAAGGTATAATTTATTATTAATAAAACCTTGTTGCAGCACTAAAGCAGAAAAATGAGATTTTGCATTAAATATGCAAAATATTTACATATAAATTGTTTTAGAGCCCTTTTATTGGCAGAATCTATTAATTTAGTTCTTACAAAAAATGGGTCCCAACGTGGTTTGTGTGGCGTTGCCATAGTGTGACGTCATAGGCACAGATCCCCTGTCCTCTTGTTTAGAAATGGAAATATGGTCACCCTATATTAAACAAACTGTCCACCCGGGCTTTTGCGCTGCACAGAGACGCTTCGCTGCCTATGACTGAACGTCAGTTGAGAGTCAGTCTCATGCAGACTGACCAATGAAGAGAGGGCCTCAAGTTAACACCCTCTCCTCATTGGTCAGTCCACACGAGGTGGGTCAAAGGTTACTCTGGGCGGGTTACGTGTTGTCAGGCATTCAAGTATTGAGTATATTTACTGCATATTACAGTAAAATATTCTGTATGTGACCACATTATGGTGATCCTCGGATCGTGATGATGGGGCCCTTGAATATTGTTGCCCAGGGTACAACAAAGTGTTAATCTGGCCCTGGTTCCGCCGTCACATTCCCGCAGAAACTGGTTGATCACACCGGGGCCAGACTACTAGCATGTGGTTTTACAACCACAATGTCCTCAGAAGCAAAAACGCTTTTAAAAGGGAGGGAGGAGTCCTAACTGTTGCTGCAGGCGTGTTGTGTGAGAGTGCAGTTATATACTGGTTAATATATTTTTGGGTTCAGTTGCTTTCATGTGGCCTAATGTGAGTCTATTTGGGATCATTGGAATGATCAGCAGCATTTCTTGATGTGACTTTATGGCAGTTGCCCAGGGCATCATCACAAGGAGGATGGCATTCATTTACTTTTGTTTTATTTGGTATTTTTTCAGTCATTTTTGGAAATAGTGATCAATTTTGATTAATTCACAGCCTATGTTTAATTACATTTAAAAATTAGTTGTTTGACATCCCCAGTTATAATAAATGTCTACAGATGAGATCAAACAAAACAGATGAGAATTGCCCTTAAGCTGTTTAACTTGGACCAAGCATTTTAGGTCACAGATAGATGTAGCTTAGGGTCTCTGTCTATACACCTTATAAGACAATTTAGGTGATGGCATGTTGTTTTTCTGCTATTGAACTGTTTTCTAATAATGTTGTGTTAAATAAAGTGAAGGAAGGAGAGAAATGACGTTTCCCTAGCAGTTTTTAAAAATTTCCCCATGTAATCCGATTAATCGATTAATCGTGTCGAGACCCCATCCGATTCATCGATTATCCAAATAATCATTTGTTGCAGCCCTAATAGCAGCACTCCGAGCTTGGAGACAAGAGCGGGCATCTGTCAGCATCTAGTAGCTGTTTCCCGCCAAGAGATAGAAGAAGCCGGTCACCTGCTTTGCTGGGCTGCCTCTGGGAGAAAGAAGTTAGCGAAACTAAACAAACATCCCATTTGCAATGGCGACTTTGCAGATCTTTGACAATGGTGGACCAGCGAAGCCCAGAAGCCTCCACTAGCAATCAATCAATCAAATTTTATTTCTAAAGCGCTTTTCAAACAAAGTGTTATTCAAAGTGCTTTACAAAATGACCCCAGATTCCCATAACAGGTTAAAAACATTAACAAACATATGCAATCACACGCACACAAACACAGACTCACACACACACACGAGTAAAAATTATATTAGGCTGAGTCCAGATGAGCCAAGTAAGGTAACGCAAGGAAACGCCATCAGAGGAGCCGTCTGCCCCGGCAGCATCAGGTCTTCCACACTAAGTCAGGGCGCTCAGTGGAGGGGGAGCATAGACCCCCACCTATAGAGCGCCCAGGAAGCTACAGTCGACCACCGCTCCCGGGGCAGAGGGCCCCCACAGAGGAAACACTGGATTAAAATGAGTAAAAATGTAATAAAAGAGCTAATATAAATGACAACAATTAGAAAATAAGTAATAAATAAAATCATAGACAGTAAAATAATAATTTAAATAATAAAACTGTGCTAAAATATAATCATATAGAACAAAGCAAGTAATAAAATATAATCTTGTAAAACGAGAAATAAAACTGTAGTAAATATTTAGATAAAAGCTAACCTAAAAAGATGGGTCTTGAGTCTTGACTTAAAAACATGAACGTTCTCTGCGGCCCTGAGGTCTAGCTACTGTCATTACCCAGCCAACACGTTATATTTCACCCCATCTTTGACCAAGCAGTATTATTTTCAACGTACAGCATTTTCCCATGTCCAACCAGTGAAATAAGTACCTGGGTATCTGCGGGGTCTTGAAAAGTCTTAAAAGTCTTGAATCTGATTAAAGGAAAATTAAGACCCTTAAAATTCATTTTTGAACCAGGTTTTAAACATGTTTATTTTTCCGCTATGAAATTGGCATTTTTAACATGCAAGTCAATGAGAATTTGCTTGTTTCTGGTGACAACCCCTAGTGGATGAGGGTGGAACTGCAATTTTTGGGACTTCAATGTTGAGACCAGTTCTGGGTCCCTGGGGTTCCCAACCCAGTTCTGCTGAATACGTAATTTTCAATGTTTTGTTTTTTCTTGTTGGTCCTTAGGTCCGAGTCACCAAAATTCCTGGGACGAAAACACTCATAAATGAATACAACGTCCAGTCTGAAATCCTGAACACAGGGATGGGGGTCTGTAACCCTGAGCATGTGGGCCTGCTGAAGGCTTTGTGCCAAGACGATTTGGCTAACGGCAGCATAGAACTAGGCTGCACAGTGAGGTAAGGAGATAAGTACACCCTATAACTCATAATCTACCAGTCACTAGATGTTTTCTGGGATTGGGATTGATTAATTACGCCATTATTGGATCTAGAGGGGTTGTAGACCAACAGAACACTAAGGCAGAGAGGAAATTATCTCTCTCTGTCCCCAAAACAATTTTTTTCTGAATCTGGTGCCCTTGGAGCTTGTGTGAAATGAATACTCCCCCCTCAGAAGAAATGTGGAATGCTGTCGTCGCTATGGAAACTTTCTCCCTATCCCAGCCTGGGCGGGACTGTGACTGGTGAAATCCGTGGAACCGTATCTAGGAGTCACTGTGCTCTCTAACCCATTATCTCCCTCCCCTGTCAAAACAGAGGTGATGAGCGCTGCCCCATGCGGCTGCACGCACTGAAGTGAGGAGAGTCCCAATCCTACCTCCCCACCTAGTGGACACTTGTGTTGTGTAATGTCTGAAGTCTGTGTCTGAGGTGTTTTTTTTTTTAATAGCAAAGCTGCGCTCTCTGTGGAGGGTAACTCTGAAGTGGCTCCCCCCCCCCCCCCCCCCCCCCCCCCCTCCCTGACTCTATCCTCATATAAACCCTCTTGATCTATTACGGTAGCACGATTCGGGTTGCGAATGACCACAGTCACCAATTCTTGTCGTGTCTATGTATGCATGTCTGATCTCAGAATTGTGTGTACTGAAACTTAATTTCCCTCTGGGATTAATAAAGTATCTTTGAATTGAACTTGAATTATGGGAAATGTAGTTTATAGTCGATGTGCGCTTTGAAGCAGCATAGACTTATTTTAAGACACTTGAATCTCTCGCGGCCACATCTGTCCCGTGGGCCTTGTGTCTGACACATGGGACCTAGACTCTTCAGACCAGGACTAGATTATTTAAAACTAATAGTCCTTAAAACGTAGTTTGTGAAACCTTTTATTTGTTTGTTAAAGTTAAAAAATACACAAGTTTAATCTGGTCCACCTTAGATCTGGTCCTGCTGTAAACTACACTTAGACTCTTCAAACCTGGACTAGATATTCCTAATTGACAACAAAATATTAAAAGAACAGTTGGTAAATTGTGAAACCTTTAGTAGATTAGTGGAAGAGCAAAGAAGGCAACTTTCTTCTATTATGTATTTTGTGAGTTTGGATTATCATGTTGGCAACATGTTTTTTTTTTTCAGTTCTGCAGGTTTATAAACAGTAGGCTACGTTTATTTCAGGAATTTATATTGATCACCCATGAAATAAAACATTTCATAATTAGAGCAGATTAAAGATGCAGGAAGGGGGAAAATGAGCTGGAAGTAACCTTTCCACGTTAGAAACTAAAAAGGGAACCAACTTCAGCTTTGTACAAAACAAACAGTAAATAAAAAAAGTAAAACTGGAAGAAAGAATAAAAGATTTAGCCAAATTATTGAGACAAAAATGTAATTTAAAAATTCTGGTCATGCTTGCAACCTTGTTATCTACCTCACCATGCAATTTGCACAATCTGCAATTATATAGACAAAAGCCACCAGGGAGCTGCAGGTAATGTATACATTAACCCCGGTGGTGTGTGCATATGTGCTTTAAGCCAGTTTAATAAACAGAACCACCTGTTGCAATATCTAAAATAAATAATTACCAGTAAATGCTTAGAAAAATGTATTTTTAATTATTTTTGTTTAATTAGATATTGAAATAATTAAATGCAAGTAACTTGTGGCTATCAGCTTGTATAAGCACACGTTATATAAGGTAAGCAACTGCAACTTTTGAGTTTTACTGTTTAATATTAAAATACACGATACTTTGGACTATTCAAGAAGATGTTTCCAGCCAGTGAAGGGGGACATTACAGCATGGAAAGAAACAGAGTTGCAAAAGTCTGTGAAAAAACGTCACACGTGGTACTCACAAACTTTTGGCAAGGTTGGCAGGTCTGAAGTGATTAAAACTAATTATTTTTTCAAAGTAACTGGCCTATGACTAGGGATGCATTGATACCAGCCACCTGGATTCATAATATCATGTGATAAAAGGCGTTCACGTTATACTGGAGCTGAATGAAAAAGCCTAAACAAGTCCAGACTCCTAGGCCACTGGATTCAGCTGCTACTATCGCACTGTGGCAGGTGGAGGTAGAAATCTCATAACAGCAAAGCTCATCATGCTAAATAAATAACATAATTTTTCACGTACCTAACTGGCCTGGTTAAATGTGGTTGCTGTAAATTCACAAATACTTTGAAGGCTTCTAGTCCATACCCGTCTTATGCATCTATCAAATTTATTCGATACAAAGACAAGTTTACACACTGCACTGCACTGCACTGTTGGTGCAGCCAACAGCACAGCATCCTATTACCATTTTACCTTGAAACCAACTAAATTAAATTCATATGGCTAAAAACTAGCTTTTAACCCTCTGATGCATGAATTATGAGATCTTCCACAATGATTTTTTAAACAATTTTTTTCATTCATCTTTAGGTGTGAATGAAACAAATTTCAACAAATATTTTTATAACATTTTGTTAATTTACAAATACTTTATTACATGTCCATCTCAGTGGACAGCATGCATTCTGAACATGAAATATGTTGGCTTGCCTTACTGAAGTCCAAATGGAGGGACTCACATGCAATAAAGTCTTCAACAGCTGTGCTTAATAGCAAAATAAATAAATAACAATTTTGAGTACCTGTCCACTGTAGTGACCATTATGCATCAAAGGGTTAATGTACATAGACTGTTCCTTTCACAACCACCATGGGGAAGAGGCGTTCTCTTGAATACCATAATAACATCATGTGCAAAGAGCAACTAATTCAGCTGAGTAAGCTGCATAAATCCAAGCCACATAAAATAGAAACAAGTGCAAAGTAACCAGATTAACGCTGGGGCTTTGTGGAATCATTTAAATTTAATTGGTAAACACCCTGATGGGCTTTGTTCAATTGGGTGACCTGACACTGATACGCATGCTGCTGTCTTGTGTAAGATATTCTGAGAGTGATTGCTATCTCTATAAAAGGGTAGTTCTATAAAAGTATAAAAATACTAATAAAAAAGTGACAATTTTGTCCAGAAAAAATCTCCCGGACACCCTGTGATGAAAACTCATGTCAGCTACTTGGATCTGCGATCTTGTTCTTTTGGTCACTATCCAAAATTCGTGACCATAGATTAGGGTTGGAACTTAGATCCATCAATAAATTGAAAGCTTCGCCTTCCGGCTCAGCTCTCTTTACCACGACAGACCGGTCAGTACAATGCACATAGTAATGCACGTGCAGCCCCAATCCGTCTATTGATCTCAAGCTCCCATCTTTCCCTCCCTCTTGAACAAGACCCCAAGATACTTAAACTCCTCTGCTTGAGTCAGGACCTCGTCCCTGACCTGGAAAAGGCATTCTATTCCAATTCAAGACCAAGGTCTGATTTAGAGAAGCTGATTCTCATCCCAGCCGCTTCACACTCAGCTGCGAACTGCTCCAGCGAAAGCTGGAGATCACTGTCTGATGAAGCCAACAGGACCACATCATCTGCAAAAAGCAGACCTGATCCTTAGGCTACCAAAACAGATCTCTTTAACACCTTGGCTGCACTTAGAAATCCTGTCCGTAAAAGTAATGAACAAAATTAGTGATAAAGGGCAGCCTTGGTGGAGTCAAACTCACTGGAAACAAGTTTGACTTACTGCTGGCAATGCGAACCAAGCTCTGACACCGGTCATACATGGATTCAACAGCCCTTTTCAGAGGGCCTGGTACCCCATACTCCCAGAGTACCCCCCACAGGGTCCACCACAGGGACCCCCAAGGGATTCAGTCGAACCCCTTCTCCAAATTAAAACGCATGTAGATTGGTTGGGCCAACTTTCATGCACCGTCCAGGATCCCCTTAAGTGTATAGAGCTGGTCCAGTGTTCTACGTCCAGGACGTCAACCACACATTTTTCCTCCTGAATCCGAGGTTCAACAATCTGACAGACCCTCCTCTGCATAACCCCTGAATAGAATCTTATCAGGAAGGCTCAGGAGTGTGATCTGTCTTTAGTTGGAACACGCCCTGCAGTCACCCTTTTTAAATAGGAGGAACTGCTCCCAATGTCCACACGATACTACAGAGCCATGTCAGCTAGCACAGCCCCACAACATCCACAAACTTAAAGAAATCTGGGCGGATCTCATCCACCCCTGGGGCCTTGCCACCGAGGAGTATTTTGACCACCTGAATTATCTTGGCCCTAGAGATTGGCGAGTCCAACCCAAATTCCCCAGACTCTGCTTCCTGACTGAAAGATGGTGGGAATGAGTAGGTCTTCAAAGTATTCTGCCCACCGATCCACAATGTCCTGAGTGGAGGTCAGCAACACACCATCATCACTGTAAAAAGTGTTGGTAGCACACTGCTTTCATCTCCTGAGATGCCGGATGGTAGACTAGAATCTCCTCAAAGCCATATGGACGTCTTGCTCCATGGTCTTACCAAGGTCTTCCCATGCCCGTGTTTTTGGCTCCACGACCACCAGCAGACCCTCATAAAATGTTAAGGCCTGCTAGTTCTGACCGGCATCCTCTCCCACCTTTCGCTCATGGAGCGAAGAATTGTGTCTGCCATCTTGGATCGGTATCTGTAGACAGAAACTAAAACAACAGCATTCATAGATGCCTGAGTGCTGTGTGGCGTATTCCTGCCCAATAGGTAGTAGCAGATGACGGGTCTACTCTTTAAAGGTACAATAAGTATTAATTTTACAGTGAAATAATTACAAAACAATCTAATGTCTCAATCATGTTTCAATGAAGGTTAGATTGAAACAAGTTTGCTTCTCAGCAAGCTCTAATTTTGCAGCTCCAGCATTTTTAATTTGACACCAGCTCGAAAAAAGTTTAATTGTTTTAGGCAGTATGTTTGCCAGTACAAGGAGCAGCCCAGAAGTTATTTATTGTACCATAAGAAGCCACATCGTCCTTATGGTTTACTCTAATATCAGATGAAGAAGGCTAAAGGTTAACATTAAGCTAACAATGCTAATGATGAATTAGAAACAAATACTCAGCTCTGTAAATATCTCAAGCTACTTTTTCACTTATGAACAACTTGATATCACAGTGAAATGTTTTTGTTTTAATGACATTTAGAACAGAGGAAAGAGCTGCAGCGAACTCCACTGCTGTCTTTGTTGTTAATGAGAAACTGAGCATCGCTGTGTGTGACGTCAACGACGTAGTTTTCTAGCTGTAGTCAAAAGTGGCGTCTGGCGACAGCACAACAATCTCGTTAGAAGAAAGGCTTTTGGCGCTTCTACTTGTGGTTTTAAAGACTTGTCCAAGTCATTTAGAACAGAGGAAAGAGCCGCAGCAAACTCCGCTTAAGTCGCCATGTTCAACAAACTCTGCGTAATGGGCTCAATACACGGGAGGCGACAAACGACCGCGATCAGCGAAATTTGTCACCGTCGCTTTTATTACCTGACACATGGGAGGCGACCCATGGCAGCGGCCAGCGGCAAAGCTGTCTACGCGTTCTGTTCCATGGCGAAATCGAAACTTCCGTTGTTTTGTTTGCCTGTGTCAGGTTGGAGGGAATTAAGGTTATTTAAGCGGTTCAGAGTTAATAAAGCGGTAGATATGATGTTTCACAAGGTGCTGCTAGAGTTATGTGAAATCTTACTTCTGATTTTACTAAATAACATAATAATAATCAACTTCTCCTTCATGTTTGCTCGGAGATGTACGGAGCATCCTGTCCGCTGATTGGTCAGTGAATGAAACCTCCGTTGATTGGTCCTCGTCCCAGCGACAGCGATGAAAAGTTGAAAATGTTTCAACTTTCTGGGATCACGTCACTGGGTCACCTGTGCACGACACGTGCACGAGCGCAAAATTTCACATGCATGTTTTTCGCGTTTCGCTTGGTAGGAGGGAGACCCGCGATTATCGCTTTGTCACGCATGTCTCATTGAAAATGAATGGAGAAGCGATGTCGCCTCCCGTGTGTCGAGCCCATTATGGTGTGTGACGTACGCTACTCGGCGCTGATTGGCTCGGTTAGAATTCTCACGGTTTGGGGTTATTTGAATAGGAGCGTTCCCAGACCCTTTCTCTGTGCAGAATTAAACAGAGGAGTCGTCTGGCACGCCAGGCTGGGCAACAGTTGGAAAATGCTATATTTCTAAGGGTATTGGCTCACCACAACATTTTGGAAAAAAACTGAACTATGAGCTTCACTAACTCTTTTTGAAATGTGTGAATGGAATTCTGAACTAATTACACAAACAAATCAAACCTTCCTAACACTGTGTTGTGCTCTGAATGTGTGTTTTTTTTTTTTTTTTTTTTTTTTTTTTTTTAATAGTGACTCATTTGTTGGGGGACGTTCCTCAAGAGGCCTTCCTGCTACCTTTCTGAGCCCACGTGAAAATGGTGAGATGAAGTTTCAGCTCTGTTTCCTGTCTTGTTAAGGTTTCATTCTTACTGTGTAAATTTTACAACAATTAATATTAGGGCTGCTCGATTATGGCTAAAAATGATGATTAATTCATTATTCGATTTATTGAAAAGACCTAGTTAGCATGAGTCAAGTCTTACCATTTAGTAAATGTCCCAACATGAAGAGTGAGGTGTTTCTCGAAAATAAACCGTGGTTGACCCCTGAGCTGAAATCCCTGCTGAACGATAAGAAAAAAAGCTTTTATGGCTGGAGACAAAGAGGAGCAGAGATGAGTCCAGAAGGAACTGAAATACAAGATCAGACGAGCTAAGTACATCTACAGGAAGAAGCTGGAGAAACAGCTGGGGCAGAACAATACTTGTGGAGCATGGAGAGGCCTCAGGACGTCACAGTGGAAGGAGTGGTGCCAGTGAGTCTGCTGAAGGGGACCAGAACTGGGATCATGAGTTTAACCTGTTTTTTTAACCGATCCAACAACTACCTCACCAACATGCCACAGTACTAGAGGCTGCACAACTGTACATCTGAGGTGGTTGTGTGCAGCACTGTAGCTCCACAGGGTACCATTTCAAAGAACCCCTCTCACCCACTGCATTCCACCACGGAGACCATGGACACCTCCTTCAGAGGCAGACTGACATCTCAGATGTAAAACAGAACGCTACCGTTGATCTTTCATCCCCTCTGCAGTAAGAGTGTATAACTCCTCAGTTTAAGTTTTACTGGCATTATCCCCGTACACAAAAACACCAATGCAACATTCATTATGTGTTCAATACTCGTTCAATACCAGATTTACAGAGTATGTCTGTCTCTTGCAGTATGCTGCAGTGTTGGAACCCGTTTTTTCCAATTTTTATTTGTGGTTTTTAGTAGTAGAATGTTACAATACTGCATATGTGTATAAATACATGTACCTCGTTATTATTTATCTTCAAACTAAGTGTTGGTGCTGCTCTAACAATTGATTTTTCCCACTCAATCAATGAAGTCTATTCATTCTCCTCAACACTCTCCATATTGTAACTCAGACATTCTATTGAAAAGAAATCACCTTTCAAGTGTTTTGCTCCTCTTACAATTGTAATATTAATCAACACTGCATAGAACAAACAACTTAAGTACCTTTTTTCTGATGAGCATTCCCAGATTCCCTGCTGCTGTTGCACTAATTTCAGAACAGGCTCATTTCTTGTATATTCCAGAGACAAGTGTCAGCTGTTATTTTGGAGTGAAGCTCCAGCTGGATGCTGTAAGACCTACCATTTACTCTGAGCACAGAGGACCTTTAACCATCTAGACGCTTCTTTGTCTCATCCAAAATAGATGTAGAGCTGCAGCATTCTGTCGATGGATCTAAAATGTTCCACCTCGAGGAATTCTAGTCTGGGAAAGTCTGTCACAGTTAGAAATTTTCAGAGGTGTCAGAATAGAGCTAACCAACTGGCACTAAAAGGTTCCCCATCAGTGTAAAATCAGAGGGTTTGCAATAGTCCTAACTCCAAAACCAACCAAGACACCTGTGCTTTCAAACTGGTAGGTAGGTGAATATGGTGTCATTCATTTTTACATATTTAACTTGATCCTCAACCAGGTAGATTTTCTGATTTTCATATGAAATACAATGCAGTGAAAAAGATTTTGTTTCTGTATGGATTGTTTGATAATCTGAAGGATTAAGTTGTGCAATTAAGCAAAAACAGAAGAAAAAAATCTGTCAAAGATAAATGCAACATTCATGTTTCAAGTGATGATTTCCTATTAGGGATGTCCCGATCCGTTTTTTTTGCCCTCGAGTCCAAGTCATTTGATTTTGAGAATCTGCCAATACAGAGTCCCGATCCGATACTTTCGATACGTTAAAAAAAAATAAAAGGAAGAAACTTTTCCAGAATGTTCCTTATTTTTTATTTAATTACCTTTTTATTTTAATTTTTAAAAACAGATCACTTCTGTGAGGTAGCGCGAACAATCAAGTAATAAATAACATAAATTCTTCACTTTTGGACTTTACTGCAAATATAAAAAGTCTAATATAAAAACAGCACTTCAACTTAAAATACCTGGCAGGGGTCTGTTTTGCCTCGGACCCCAAAATGCTTAGATACGCCCCTGGGCATGGGACGGAGTTTTGAAGATGATCTGAGTTGTATCAACTATATAAATACTACATGCTGATAAATGATTGCTTCATACAGGTACAAACGTGTAGTGGGATCAATCTACCCACATTTTATTTTTTAAAGAACTTTGTTTTGTTTTCTTGGTTTTTATTTTCCTATCGTCCTGTCCTGTCTGTCTCTGATCTTCCTGCATCTCCCAGTCCTCCAGAAAAACTCCTGCCTGCTTCCTTCTTTTTCACCTCACAAGTCACTTTTTAGCTAGCAGATCAAATTGATCTATTGACCGCAAAAAAGGCGGAGTGTGCGCCGCGCTGCCCGACTGAGCCAGTGACGAGCGCTGCAGCAGGGGCAGCACGAGCGCGTCCACACGTTATGCTCAAATACAGACAGAACTTACCAGAGAGAAAATGAACGGACAGGAACGACTGTGTGTTAATTATATATTTTTTGTGTCGCCACTTAGAAATTTAGAAAATGTTACTGTGGTCGTGTGCAGAACGCAGCTGGAGTTCATGAATGATCAGCGGTCTGCCTGCCGCTCTCTGCATCTCTGCTCAAAAGAATCCCCGCTATGCCGAGTCCATGTAAATAATATAATAAAGGTAGAAACTGGATCTCTTTTGGGCTCCTTCTGGGTGTGTAAGTTAAGGGCATCAGGGGAGTCTGACAACCTTTAAGGAGAACCAAGTTGCTCTCCTGTAATTTGAACCCAGTATCCGAGTCCGCATCGGGGCTTGGATCGGGAAGTAAAGCCCGAGTCCTGATCGAGTCTGAAACCACGTGATCGGGTCTGATTTCTGATCATAAGATCCGCTTCCCTATATCAAGGAAACAAAGCTATCCAACTATATCATGGTATGCAAATTAGATGTTGTAAGCATAACCATTATGCCCACGTGGGTCATGCAGCACAGAATTAAAGATGTGGAGGCAAACATGGCTGGAATCTAAAATTATTTTCAGTCAGTAGGGAAAGGTGCGTTGTAGTGTCAGTGGTTTTGGTCGCTGCAGCCCCCAGTACCAGTTACCTGGTCATGCAGGGTGGTACACTCCACCAAACAGAAAAATCTGAACTTGGTCAATTATGGCAAAGGCATTCTGAAGTACCAAGGAAAGAGGATGCAATAGCGTCCCCAAGGAAGCTGTGTGAACAAAACATGGCTGACACTACAATGGCTGGTCTGGACCAGATGTAATTCCACCGAGAGCTCACCACACCTGAAGCATCCACAGATTTGGAGTGTCATTTTTTTAACTTGTGTTTATAGTGAGAAAAACTTTGTCTAACACTGGTGTTCTTTCTGTGTTTGATTTCAGGTCCAAGGTTTTCAGAGGACACAGGAGAAATCAACTTATATGTGTATTCTGATAGTGATGAGGAGAGTGACTCGCCTTCTACATTTCACTAGGCCAGTCCTAAAAGTCTGTTCTGTTAGACTTAAAAATGCATTAAGTAGAACTTAAGTAAAAATCACATCCTGTGGTAAAAGGTGATTACTGCTACCATGTCAAACAACTCTGAAGCTTTTTGCCGGCATTCGTCAAATTACAATTGTCGGCGCTGCAGTATTAGCTCACAGGAGATGGTAACAGTAGTTACATGCCTCCTTCCTTTGTTTTGAATGAAGAAAAACTGATGATCCCTGCAGCGTGCTGAATATGAAATATGTTTTGGTGTAACTGTCCTTCCAAAATGATGATAACACTAGACTCTCTTGGGATTTTCTCACTGGAAAATTTTCACTATATTCGTACATTCTGCACCTTTAAGCATTTGTAGTTCTTTTGAAACAGTTATTGTTAGTAGGCTGCGCCTTTTAATGTTTTGTGCCATGTGAATGGAAACAAAATAAGGGAAATGTTTTTTTTTTTTTTTTTTTTTTCAGTTTCTCTTCCATTTCCCTTCAATCTGCTTAACGGTTTAGTTCCTTTTCAAACCAGAAACTTCAGGTCAAGACTGGTTTGAGATTCTAGAAACAAATTTAAGTTAGAGTTCCAATAAAATGTCTTTAAGGGTCTGATTTATCTGCTTCTTCTTTGAATGGACAAGAACCTTTTTAATGACAAGACCTCATTCCTTTAAAGTGCTTTGATTGGTCAATGGTCACCGTTGAAAATCGGACTCGATCAAGTGATTTTGAAAGGATAAGAAACGGGTGGAAAAGATGAGATTTAACCTTTAAAAACAACAAACCATCCATCCATCCTCTTCCGCTTGTCCGGAGGCGGGTCGCGGGGGCAACAGCCTAAGTCAAGAAGTCCTGACTTCCCTCGACCCAGTCACTTGAGCCAGCTCATCTGAGAGAATCCCAAGTCGTTCCCTGGTCAGGGGGGAGACATAGTCCCTCCAATGTGTCCTGGCTCTCCCTTTAGGTCTCCTCCCGGTTGGATGTGCCCAGAAAGCCTAACCAAGGAGGCATCCTAATCAGAGTCCTAAGCCACCACAACGGACTCCTTATCGATGTGGAGGAGCAGTGGATCTACTCCAAGCTTCTCCTGGATGACCAAACTTCTCATCACATATCTAAAGGAGAGCTCGGAGACCCTGCGGAGAAAACTCATTTCAGCCGCTTGTATCCGTGATCCCGTTCTTTCGGTCACTTCCCAAAGCTCATGGCCAAAGGTGAGGGTAGGAACGTAGATCGACTGGAAAATCGAGAGCCTCGCCATATGGCTTGGCTCTCTTTTCACCACGACAGACCGGTCCAATTTCCAATCAATCTTGCACTCCAGCTTTCCATTACTCATGAACAAGACCCTGAGATAATTTAATTCCTCCATTTGTGTAAGACCTCATCTTTGATTCAGAGAAGGCGTTACGACCTGTTCAAAATAACAAACATGACGTTAAATTCGTCCTGAGATAGCTAATAGAGGTTTTTGGGTCCTTTTGGCCAGAAAAATGCTTTTGAGCAACTCAAAAGTAAAGCACACATCAACTCATAGAGCTACAACGTTTCAGTGGTCTTGCAAGAGCCCCGGGAGATGGGAGCAGCTGGACGCCTTTGTCTATAAGCTGTTCCCACACGGGAGAAGCCGGGAGCTCACCTTGACATTAGCTTCATGCTAACTTGAATCCAACAGGTTTTCAGTTTCTTTTAGCGAGAAAAACAGTTGAGCGACTACTCAAAGTGATGCAGTTTTTCTATGGTCTTCAGAGAGCTCCACAGCCGACCAGCACAACTACAGGGTGGGCCTTTTATATGGAGACACCTTAATAAAATGGGAATGGTTGGTGATATTAACGTCCTGTTTGTGGCACATTAGTATATGTGAGGGGGCAAACTTTTCAAGATGGGTGGTGACCATGGTGGCCATTTTAAAGTTGGCCATCTTGGATCCAACTTTTTTTTTTCAATAGGAAGAAAGTTGCATTGACAATCCGTCACAATGGGCAGCACATTGAACTCATTTTATAAGTGGTTAGAAACTTGAAAATAACTCATGAAAAAATAAAGTTACTTTAAAGCCAGGCACACCATTGTTTTTCTTGTGAAATTTCCAATAAGTTTAATGTGTCACATGATCCTCTTCCTATTAAAAAAACAAGTTGGATCCTAGATGGCCGACTTAAAAATGGCCACCATGCGCGACAAAATTAATGTCAAGTCAATGGGGCTGAAAGAGCTATTTTCTAATTTGCTTTGCCTTAGGCCCTGGATATGTTGTACTTCTATTTACATGAAAACTAATGATGGGTGTTTCGACCATGCCTGTCACGTACTTTTGAGATTTATCAGCTTGTAAAAGTTCGTAATTAGCATAACTACTAATTAGACATTGACACGTTGCATATATGACATCACCACAGAATCTCTTCTCTAGCGTAGCTGCTACTTACCACATGGCCAGATTTATGGTGTTTTTTTCCACCTGAAGGAATAAGTTTGATAAACTTACAGCTATTTTCCCTGTTTTTCTCCATTTCCGGTTTGATGAGGTCACTTTCGTGATGAACATTTGAAGTCCTTGACTTATTTTCACACAAAACCTAAAATTACGTTTTCCCCGTTCGAAAAAAAGCATTTTCTTGGTATCAATATGTCTTTAAAATCACGAACACCATATGTGGAATCTGTAGCACATAACAAACTGGATTAGAGAATAACGTTTTTAGTCCCATTGGCTTGCATTCAGTTTTTTATTTTTTATTTTATTTATTTATTATTATTATTATTATTATTATTTTTTTTTTTTTTTCATTTTTCTGGGGTCCCATGGTCCGGATGTAGATGACTAATGGGCCATTCCCATCTGTATCGGGTCGGCCCGGGCCGGGTAGCATAGGTTGTTTACATATCTGGGTGGCCTGGTATTTTTCCGGGCCAACCAAGGCTCATTCTCAGCCCTCTTCTCGAGGGGGTCTGCTTCAGGCCGACCAGGGCTAACACACCCACTGCTGACAGCAAATTCACACCTTCCATTAGAGCAAGCCTCTGATTGGTGGGTAGAATCAGCCCACATGGGCTTAAGACAAGGATGTGTGGAATCAACCGGGCCAGGCTGGGGCCGACTGGGGCTACCCGGCCCGGGCCGACCCGGTACAGATGGGAATGGCCCATTAGGCTCCCTGTCGAACCGTGCCCCCAGACCAATTGCGCCTCCCTCCAACCGGCTTTGGAGGATAGAGTCCCAGGTGTGTGACAGGGTTTATGCCCCCTCATCCCGGTTGATGGTGTCGCTCGTATGGTCTGGATCTCGATGGACTCCCTGATTCATCGTTTGAATGTTATTTTCCTATATGGTGATTTTATATATACCGTAAATCCTCTAATATTGGCCTGTATTCAATTAACGGCCGGGTATCATATTTTTTGGCCAGTGTCGGAGTTGGCGGAGGTGAAAAATGGCCGGTATTTTATTGTGGCCAGGTGGAATGTGGTAACAAGCAAGTACGGGGGTGGTTGTGTCATCCGTCTCACTTTTGATTTGCCAGTGATAGACCGCGAGGGTAACTTTAACCGTGCGGAGACGAAGAGTAGGCGAAAATTTGATATCAAGTTCAAAGAGAACGTGCTGATTATGCTGCAGAACACTCTGGGGAGCAGTAGGGGTTGTATGAACTAGTTACTAGTCGACTTCACCGCTCAATACTGACTTTTTATGCCTGTCATCGACTAGTCGCTGTCACGTGATAATGACCGGCAACATGCAGTCCACGGAAAAAACAGCAGCCTGCTGTCAGCAGGTGACAAGCTCCTGCGCGTCAGGGGGGCAACGCGCTGTGCCAAAGCATCGGTACTGACACCCGCCATAAAACGGACATTTAACCAAATTGTGACCTTTTCCCTCTTGCAATTTAACCTTCCCCTCACCCCCATCCTAACCTTAACCAGCTTGCGCATGCAAAGCTCTGATTGTTGACGTGCTCTAGACATCTGCGTCCTGAGCACGGCCACAGTAACATTATCAAATTAGGTGTCACCACCTCAAAAACTAATTTAACACACGACCGTTCGTGTCGGTTCATTTCCTTTAATGTTTTCGGTCTTTTATTTGCGCCTGATGCGTTTCGCTGCTGTGGAGCGGGGCGCATCACCTTGTCCTCCGGTGACACACTGATCACGGATGCGGCCGCCAAGCAGCGAGCACTCCGCTGTTTTTGCGGTCGGTGGATCTTTTAGAACTGCAGTTCAAAGGTAACTCATAAGGTGAATATATATGAACCCAGGTAGCAGTTTTTCTTTAGGATTGAGAGGAGATGCAGGAAGATAAACAGGCAGGACAGAAAAATAGTCAAAAAAAAACAAGTTAGTTTTTGTACCTGTTGGTTGCAACAAACAGACACCATTGAAGGTAATCAGAAGTGAGAAACAGGAAATGAAATAATTATTTTAATGTTTAGAGCAGCAGGAACTCTGAGAGGCTGTAGGCGCATCAGTGAGTTTGCGGCCACTGCGCAGGGGTTTTATTAGTGGTCATTACAACATATAGACTTGTTGACATGTTTAAAATCTCCACCTGTTTTCTTTTTTGCTTTCACATAAAAAAAATGAAGGATGTGGATTCACATCTCATGTTCTAAATCTCTGTAACAAATCAGGTGTTTCTCTCTGCTTCAGAAACGTTGAAACGCAGATTGTATGTGTCAAGTGCCCTGCTGTCCCCACAAGTCACTGCAGGTCTTGCTGGGCAACTAGAAATCCACCGTACACCATTAGGTTAAACGTCTCTTTTTACAGATTAGTAGTAGTTGGTCAGCAGGTGGGGAGGGTTCCATACTTAATAAAACCAGACTTGTTTTTAAATTAGTTTTAGACTTTAACATGTTTAAGATCACATTTAATCCCATGAAGAGGGCAGCGTTCCTCCCCAAAGGTTTCTCCTGTAGATTAATTTGGAGATGCACCAAGTGGTCAGCATTACTCTTCTTTCTCATGGTGTCAATGAACAGTGATGGGTGATTGTATATAAACCACAACCAGGCCTCACACACTTCATCTACTTGGAACTTGATTAAATTGGCTGCTCATTAATAAGACCTGAAGTAGGACTGAATTGCTGGATAAATTGAGTTCATGAAAAGCGTAGTTTTATCCTCGTCTTGCCCTTGCTCCAAAATTTGTATTGGTGTTGTCTGCACTAAAGCCAACCACTTTATCCATCAAACTGAATGCAGATATGCCTTTAAGCATCGACATAATATACGTGGACATCTTCTTTCCATAGGCTCCATTATCACTTTTTTGAGGCCAAATGGGAGGTGGCCACCACCGCCATTTTGACCGTGTCACAGGTTCCGTCAAGCCCAGACAATTCCATAAAAGGGAAGAGGAGGAGCTGAGGGTGGGGCTGTAAGGCTGGGATCAACTGACGACACCCGGTCGAACTAGCTACAAGCTAACCCAACGCTAACGTGGAGGTGGGAGCTAAGCTAACGGAGGTAGCAACCTAGCTACAACCGGAGTTAAATGTGCACAACACCAGAGCTTCTGAGTCAGAGATACGCCGGGCTGACCGCTGGGTAAAACCGGGTGGAACACAGAGGTCTCCGAGAGCTCCACAAGCTGGCAGCCACAAA